GGTCTTGGGTTCACCCCGGTGGGGCAAATCATTGTATGATAAAAACGAGCATCTGTGCCTAAGTTTTGGTTGTTAACAAATATGAATTTAAAATCTAATCTAGTAAATTCTAATCTATGCATCATCATTATGCATTTCTAGGCGTTAGCCCATAACACAAGCCTTTCAATGCCCATTATAAGGCTAGGCTAATTGGTGTGAAGTGTTGACTCGATCACTACGGTTGTTCTACCGTAATATATAATACATTTCAAAAGAAAAATGAATATCGAAACTAATAGTTTCGATGTTTGAAAAAATTTAGTGCAAGTAAGTTGATAAATTGGGAGCTCCATAAATAATTCTTAAATAAATTTAATGGTATCGCATGCCATTCAAAAGCTTGTTTATCTAAATCCAATATATATCAAACTCCAATCTCAAGTGCAGTACACTATAAATATGTAAAGAATTCTAAGTTTTCTGCAATTTAAAGACTATCTGCCAGATAAATAGAAGATAACATATTTTCTCTTGAAAATAACAAAAGTAAACCAAATGGGTTGCTCACTCTTTTGATCGCGTAATGAGAGAAACTTGCAATATTAGAAATGACTCGTGTATGTGGTGTCTGAGGTGGCCAACTTGATCATTTTGATATATAAGTGGTGCTAGTTACTGAAGAAAGATTGCACGATCTACCAAATTCTTGAAAGGTTTTGAAGATCATTGTATGCAATTATCCCCTTTATGTTATTTTAGTAAAAATTACTGAAAACTGTTCTTAATATTAAACTTACGCTTTCTAACCTTGCCACGACTGTCTGGAATAAATATACTTCAAACCCTACGCATAGTACATGCATACCTCATGTAAGCTGTGTAAATCTTATAAATAACTAAATCTTTATTTAGTATTAAGTAATACATATAAATGACTCAGATCTAAGAACTGAAAAACAAAAGAAAAATTACAATCAATTATAGATTCCAGGATGGCAAATGAATTTCATAAAATCTGGTCTGAACTTCGGAATAGCATAATTTATCACGGCAACCCAGCAACAATATAAAAACTATACCAGAGAATTTCGTTGTAAAAACGTAAACTTCAGAAGTTGATCGGTTTCAACATTTTTGTTATTCCGTGGGGTTGTATCAACCACTCCCTACTTCTAACAATAATTATGAATTCACTGCAATCGACCTTGCAATCACTTCCCGCCAATCTAATATGAAAGCTTGGGAAGTATAGTTGAAGAACACGGCACGATATGCTAGCACTACGCTTTTCAACATATTCTACAAAGAGCGACAGCTCTGTCTTAAAAACAGCTATGAGATGGCTCGGAAACGCTGGCTTGCGTGGTTGCATTGGTCTAGGAACAAGAATGTTTATCGGAATAATCCCGCAAGTTGTGGACTCGGCTCTGAACTAACACGATTTTTGAGATACTTATTTTTAACTCGTGACTTATCTTAAAATAAGTACCATTATTTTAAATAATTCAGTAGTTTTTACATGATATACCAATGGATGATAAGTCTAATTACCTAAGCTCACCTGTCTTGGCAAACACATATATTGAAGTCGATTGTTTTTAAAGAATCAGTCCGTAACCTACTATTCTGTGTCTATAAGTTAAGTTAACTTATTTCCTTTTCTTCAATAATGTACGCGTTACATCATAATGATCTGTTTCAAATACTTCGTCATATATGTTGTTCTGAACGTCATACAGTAATTATGCTGCGTATTATTTGGTTCAGCATGTGGTACAACACATGACTTGTTCCTACTTCAAATTATCCCGAATCATTGTATTTGTACCGACGAAGATTAGTTTAGCCTTGTTTTGGTTCAAAACAGGTGAAAGTAGTTAAAGACAATCCGATTGGTGACTTGTACCGAATAATGGTAATCGTAAGTGGGACCCTGATTTTTGGTACTTAAGTAAAAAGTACAGTCTTGTAAAATGTAAGACTCAGTATCGAACAACTTTACATCTTTTTCTCTCGTTCGTACGCCTTATTTGTGATATACAAAAATACAAATGAATGCTACACAAGGAAGCGTCCGGTCATTAACAAAACAAATATATGTAGAAGTATATATATATATATATTTAAATATATACTTCGCGAGTTAAGCAGCTTCGTAAGCTTGAAGAAATTAAAGGCGTGATTCAAATAATATTATTTGATTCATTTTTAAGCTTACTCGTTTCTTTATACAGTTTCATATAATCTGATAAATGTTAATATTTAAATTTATCATAAATTGTCACATTGGCGTATATATCTATGTACGTGGCGATCACCAGGCGATAACAAACAGGTCTCAATATAAAGCTTTCAGTGACGGTCAAGTGGTTTAATAGCAGCATTTTATCTGAAATAAAATGCATATTAAAATACTTACCTCACTGAAAGCTTTCACTTTAAATTCTGCCTGGTGAAATAATTGAGCCAATGAGTTAATATGGCGCTGTCAAAACTTAGGAAAACAAAAATGGCCGCGCTTCTGCCAGGTGTCGCCACTGGGCCGGATATAAGGTGAATAAAAGTACGGAAACTGATGCTAATTCGACGGGAAACGGAAGTGCTATCTCAATATAAAGCTTTCAGTGAGGTAAGTATTTTAATATGCATTTTATTTCAGATAAAATGCTGCTATTAAACTTATATAATAATTATTTATTACTTAATAAAATCAAATGCAATTATATAATATATACAACAGACTTCATCATATTTAAAGAATAAAGAAAGTAAATTCTATATATCTATTAGGCCAATAGGGCCGTGGTAGCATAATGGTCAGTGCATTCGCCCGGATTGCAAAGGGTGCGGGTTCGAGTCCCGTCCGCTGCCGGGTCCGCGTGGATTTTTTTTCCTAGTAAAGTTTTCTTTAGATTTAAACATCAAGCAGTTAAATGCTTAAAAATAAATAAAAACATAAGTAAATTCTTACTAAAAAGTTTGTATATCTTCGGGACATACAAGATATTGTATAATGCGATCAGACCCGTCTTTCCCAGTGGGCACTTTGGGCAAGTGTCCAGGGCCCCGCGATCGATAGGGGGCCCCCTCAGATCAAATACAAAGTCCTTAGTTACTGTTAAATCACCAAACGGAAGTCATAGGGGCCCCATTATCCTAATATGCCCAGGGCCTCCAATAGGTCAAGGACGGCACTGAATGCGATTCAACTAAAAATAGGACCGACTGTGTGCCATATTATGACGTCATAGCTGTCAATTCAAACCAAATAGGTAGAGTGAGCAAAAAAAGCTTTTTCATCCCACCACCTCGGAAAGTGTAATTTTGCGCTTCGAAATCTGGCTGGAAAATTCTATTTTATTCGCTTGAGCGGCAAAGTAGATTTGAATTTAGAACATCACATATAATGAGTACTCAATATAATTGTAAATTCAAAACGTCATTAAACCTATTTAATGTAACCTCTATGGTGCCAAATTTATGATTAGAACTTTTTAAATTGTGAAAAAATTTAAATTTGGAACCTTCTTGGTTTCTTTGTTTTATTTGCGTGCTTCGCGCCATTCTAGTTTTTCACGTTTTATTGCTTAATATAATTAACATAACCTAAAAACTGTACAAAAAAATCAACTAAAATGAGTGACATTAGCGACGATGAAGTTTATCTAACGCCAACTGAGTTAACTGAAACAGTTAATAATGCGCAAATGAGCCTTCTCCCTCAGCAATCACGAGAGAAGTATTTGAAACAGTACGATATATTTAACATGTGGCGACTAGCTAAAGGAGCAAAAACTTTCTCCGAAAACGTTTTGCTGGCATATTTTATAGAATTATCTGAGACCAAGAAAGCAAGCACGCTATGGAGTACGTATTCAATGCTAAAATTAACAATTAAGATGAAGAAAGACGTTCATATCGACACCTATCATAAATTAGTGGCATTTTTAAAAAGAGCCTCATCTGGTTATAAACCAAAAAAATCGAAGGTTTTCACAGCATCTGAAATTGCAAAGTTTATTAATGAAGCACCTGATTCCGTATATTTAGCGGCAAAAGTAAGTCAATACGTGTAATTTTTTGTTGTTGATAAAATTGTACATAGTACTTACAATATTTTTAATTTGATTAATTTATTTACGATTATAAATACTTCTTTTGTTACAGGTTGTTCTTATTATTGGTATAACCGGAGCATGTCGAACAAATGAACTTACACTACTTAATGTCAATAACGTATCAAAATATTCTCATAATTCTGATGAATTGCTATTAATTAATGTACTAAATACCAAGACAAAAAAAGACCGCAACTTCGTTATTCGCAAGGAATATGTAAACATTGTTCAGAAATATCAAGCTTTACGTCCTTCTAACACCCCAATTGAACGATTTTTTCTACAATATCGCAACGGAAAGTGTATCCGACAACCTATGGGTCAGAATAAAATTGGCAGTATTCCACGAGAAATAGCAACTTTTCTCGGACTTTTAGAACCCCCGTTATACACCGGTCACTGTTTTAGAAGAACCTCAGCCACACTTTTGGCCGAATCAGGGGCTGATCTTCTATCGCTTAAGCGCCATGGAGGCTGGAAGTCTAATTCGGTTGTAGAGGGATACATAGAGGATTCAATCCAAAGTAAATCAAAAATTTGTAATAGTATCGTGGAGGCCATAACGCTGAAAGAACCTCTGTCAGATTCTTGGTCTCGCCCTTCTACATCTAAAATGAGCCCCCATAAGATTGGAAACAATAGCCCTCTCTCGCCAACATTTACGCCAATAGAATCCAATGAATCGGCACAACTATTTAAAATTACTGATACGAGTAGTTTACCACAAAACAGCGCACAATTCACAAACACCAACATAACATTACCTAACAAAAATATTAAACTTAACATAAGTAACTGTAGCAACGTTACATTTAATATTTCTTAATTATTTTCTACTTCTTATTATTTTCTTCAATTTATAGATTATCTTAATGTGTTTTAATTGAAATAAAAATATTTTGTCATTATAAATTGTTTTCTTTTTCATTTTGTCATTTCCTCGCTGAGGTGGGATGAAAAGTTACGTATTGCACTCGAGTGGAAAGATTTTTCACCTTGTGCTCGTTTGTTTCCCTCGCTGACGCTCAGGATTCTAATTTAGAATCCTTCGCTTGCTCGGTCATCCAAATCGAGCACGCGGTTAAAAAGGAACTTTCCACTCTTGTATAATAAATAACTATTATTTAATAAAATTTATTAACTAAGATTAATTGAGAAAAAACATCAGATTTTTTAATAATATTTATTTATTAAGATTGAGAAAGAAAAACAACTCATTTGAAGCATCCGGTATTGAAGTGAAGGCTGGCTGTACTTGCAGCGATGCAAGCGGTGATTCTAACAAGGCAGGCTTCACGAGGTCTAAACTGACCTCGGTAATTCTTCCGTCACAGTTTATTACTATGGTTCTTTTGTATGATAGGATAAGGACCTGAGTAGGCTGGCGTTAGCGGTCTAAGGACTGCGTCGTCACGTAGGAAAACGTGTGAAGTCTTCTCTAATTCCTTGTGCATGAAAGTGCTACGGTTCGTGTGACGCGATGACGGGATCGGTCGGAGTTCTGCCATGTACTGCCGCAAAATTGTTACGAAACCTCTACAGGTTTCGTAACAATTTCAAATATCCTACGATATTCAACTCGACCGCTTGTGACAGGTGGGATCAAAAATTCGCCAGGCAAAGGTAGCGTTTCTCATCTTTTCTTCGTCTACCTCAAGGGCAATGCGTACTCCCAAAAGAACAAGGGGTAATGCTTCGAGCCATGTGCCACCATGACATGCCAATGCAAATTTCAATTGTCTGTGGAGTCGCTTACCCATTGCGGATGGATGATAGCTGGTCGTGCGAGAACGTACAGAAGCGCAGCACTGAAGAAGCCGTCGGAAGAGATCCGATTGGAATTGGCGAGTCTGGTCAGTTTTTATGACAGTAAGGACACCAAATCGAGCAACTCAGCCCGAGATAAAGGTTCTAGCGACTTTTTCAGCGGTGATTCCAACCATCAGCCATACCTCTGGCCAGCGTGTGTAGCGGTCAACAGCAGACAGACAATACTTGAATGTGCCACAAGGTGGAAGCGGACCAAGGATATCAATATGGACGTGTCGTAACCGCGCTGATGGATTGGAGAAACTTCCTAGTGGCGTTTTGGTGTGCCTTGTGACTGTACTCTGCTGACAAGGTATACAAGTTCTGGCCCTTTCGCGACAGTGCTTGTTAATATTCGGCCAAACAAAACGGTCAGTGTCAAGGCGACAAGAAGACCTCACTCCAGGGTGGCTTAGGTTGTGAATCCTGTTCAACACCCGTTTTCAGAGCGTTTGCCTGTAAGTCATTTTTACATGAACTTAATGAAATCGTCTTATCGGTTATTTTACGTTTTGTTAAAAGGAAAAAGGTATATAATGTTGATTCCTATAGTGATATTTATCATTTTTATCGATAACGATAGTCGCCACATTGAGTGAGTGCGGTGCAACAAGCGGTCATGTGTCGTTATACTGTGTCAATATTTACGTTTATGTACCTGCGTAAGTATTTAAGTATAAAATTAGTGATAATTCAACAGCTTATTAGGTAGTCGACTTTGGTTTTTAGTGTTTCGGGTTTCTATTAGCGTGACAACGGAATATCTCTTTACTTGGCCTTTGCTATTCTGCTATAACAGTAAATTAATAATGAAAATGATGTAAAAACACAGTTAAGAATTTCTCCAATTCTCCATCGCAATGTGGCAACGGATGTTCATTATAATCTTCTGCGATAGTGCGGATGCTGAAACTTCACGTTTGCTAGTTTCATTCGCACTTTTTTTTTACATACATTGGACTGTTTGGCGTCTTCTTACTTTCTTTTAGTAGGCCTATTCGCTAACTGCTTTTGACAGTTGAAATTGATAATCTCCGAGCTATTTAGTGATCACCTACTGCTTTGTTAAAACGCCACTGTGATACTTTCTGAAATGCATCGTTGGATATGCATTTTTCTCCCGTCTCGTCTCACTGTAAATGTCAAAAAAGTTTGCGAGTAGGCTGGCTGTATCCGACTGAAACGATTCTTTAAGGAAGCTATTATTTAAGTACATGCACTCAGTAAAGATCTTTACAGATACGGTACACGGTACATTAACGAAACAAAAACGAGAACGCGCCGACGCGGTGAGGAAGGTGCCCTTATGTTGTATCTAATAGGGATGATGATTATTTTTCGTTTATCAGGTAGATTATCAAAAAGTATTGGACACGTATTTTTTCATTTTTTACATAATATAAACATTGCAGAGATACATTGATTTGAAAAGTCGCATGACGTCACGTTTTGGTACAATTTTCAAGTGACGTCACGAGCCTCTACTCCCAAACTTTGACTGTTTATCTTTGTCATTTTTTGGTTGATGGCCCAAAGAAAAATACATGTCCATTATTTTTTGATCATCTAACTGACGGACTAAATAGACTTTCGTTTACTTTACCCCGTCATCATGCCTATTGTATAAGACAATTTGATACAATCAACTTTGTTTCGATCAATTAGAATCGGCGAATATAAGTATACCTGATCCGGCGAACTTAGTGTCACCAAACAGTCGATGAATGTGGTTAATTTGAGGGAAAAGATTACAGTGAGTCAAACTTAAAAGATGGACATATGCATTCGCACGGTGCTGTGGCGGACATTTTTATAGAACTTTAAAAAGGGAAACAACTCCGCCATATATGTTTTTGTGTAACTTTTACCATTTACGCAGCACACTGCGAAAGCTCTGAAAATATTTTCCCCGGTTTCGCAACATTTTCATTGATACTCCGCTCCTATTAATCTTAACACGATGTTAGGTATGTAGCTTATAACCTGCCTCGATAAATGGGCTATCTATACCAAAAAAAGTGGTTCGTAGAATATGCAAGATAACAACAACAAACCAAATACAATTTATGATTTCGATGATAAATAATCGATTTATAATGATAACAAAGAAAAAGTCGCATAGGTATCAAGTTACTTCCGATTTAAATAAAAGTTAGGTTACCTATTTCCGTGCCTGTTTCATTATTCACTTCTCAATTATTCGATTCTGTGATAAACCAAACGTTATCACAGAATCGTCTGAATCGATATCCATCGATTCGCAATCGGGGTCATGCCTGATTGTAGAGATCCGCGGGAACTTGTTTTATCTGTTAGGTACAACTATTGTTGCGACTCGAAACTTGCGAGCAAGAACATCGCGTATGAGGGACAGGTGGAGGCAGGATAGATGAGGTGATTCCTATCCCATACTACAAATGTGAAGCTTCTTGTTTCGACAATTCACACTTTCACACCCTCAATTTATGAACTTGCCACCAGCTGCCGGCGCCCTTGGTTTGCGAGGACAGTTGTTGTCCAGTTGGATAATAGCCGGTAACATGAAGCCCACCATTTTTTTGAGCAACATGAAGTCCACCTACCCTTGCACCCATCAGGAAGCACCCTTGCCCAGGATCAGCCAGAGGTCGGATGCACAATTCAATATCGCGAAATACAAGTGGTTTTGTTCACTATTTGCCGCAGTTTGTGATGATAATATGTTGTTTTGTAGTTATTGCACATTTCTCTCCCTATCATTGAAAAAATGTACTACTGAACAAAGAATAAGTATACCTAGATCTTTTAATAAATACCAGCAATCTGTCGGTTCTTCCGACGTGTCTTTTAAGACTTTAGTATTGAAATTACTGGCAGAATGAACGCCAGCGGTCTGGCCTTATCGTCTGCGACTAATCCCTGTTATTATTTATGATAAAAATAGCAGTATATATTTATATTTGCCATTAGTCCACTTAGGTGGTTCCAATTTATTTAAGATAGATAAACACAACGTTCACGTACATATCAGTACCGATCAAAATTTCATTTTAAAAATCACTTCACACCATATCTGCAGCGAGGTTGATCGTTGACATCTAAAATCCAAAGCCGAACTTGCCGCTCAATTAGTCCAGACCTTGGTTAGATTAAAACAAAAAGGGAAGATACGGTACGCTCATACTACTAGCATTAAATAAAAAATGCTCCGGCTCAACTACATAAGCAAATCTCACACTTCACGTGCACACTTTCACACTTCTGTAAATAAACATTCAATCGAGCGAGCGAGACAGATACACTTCAACGCAGCGCGAGCGAAACGGCGCGCCGCTTTGCAGCCAACTGCGTTTTCTTTTCTCTCTCTACAGACGGCTGAGCTGTATTGTTGTCCCTTTCTTGATAACAAATTTAGAATCATCAACTAACATTCATGGCGAACCGTGATTTTTGAGAAAATATGTTTTTATAGTTTCAAGAATGAAAAGTGTTTCCGTGGCACTTGTTATATGATCTTAACCTATTTGTGTTCTTAACAAAAGCATCAAAGGCATTGTTTTATCTTTATAACACAGAATATACGCAATATTGTTATATCGAGTGCATATGCATCGTGTTTCGATGCCCAATTGCGACTAAAGCGAATAGTGGTCACCATTTCCGGTATATTATACTACTCTTTGGGTCACCACAATTTAAGCGGTTCAGTTTTGAGCCGCGAGTGTTGTATCTTCCCTTTTTGTTTTAACCTAAGGTCCAGATATTTTAACTAGAAAGCCAGACATACCTTTTATTAGTATCTACCCGCCCATTTTGCACGGCTGAAGTATATGTACAATGATACAACCTTCTACTGACAAATTGACAATAACGAACACAACAAAAAGGAATTATCCAGCAAGCAGGTGTGAAATAGTTATACCTCGACGATGAATAATTAGTATGTCTTTATGAACTTTTGAGGCTTATCAGGAACGATCAACCCCTTAGAAGGGGACGATGCAAAGCTTAACCTTAATAGATTATATACTAGGGCCACTGCCGACTTATCACCTACTTGCAATTTTTAAATTTGTTGATTGTTAAGGTGAACGCAGACTTGGCCGCACCGCACGCGCGGCAGTCTTCGCATTCGAATTCTTTATATGAAGTTCTATGCAACCTCGCACACCCACCCGCGTCACAGTCGCCGCAGTCCCTGAAACGACCGAACTCCCCAAGCCGCAGCTGATGACGTCAACAACGCCGGCCCGCATGCAGCGGACGCTGCGGCTAGCGTGGCACGGATGACGTCATTAGCATCCACGGCTAGAGATGGAAAAAACGGCTTATTTCTTAAAAGCGTTTAAACGTTGTACTTTTTAAAATAAGCGCGCTTGAAAAAAGCTTTTTCGTTTAAACGCTTATTGGCTTAAACGTTTAAAAGCATGCGTAAAAAGCGCGACGTTGTGTTGTGTTTTCGTTTAGGTATATCGTTTAAAAAAGCGTGAAAAGTTTATTGTCGTTTTTAATGTGTTTAAGGGTTTTATTGCGTTTTTTCTTCTTATTAATGAAATTTTTATTAAAACGTTTTTTTAAACCTAATGAACTGATTGGTATTAAAAACGAAAGATTTTCAATTTAATTTAGATTTTATAATAAACATTTTTATAATAGTCAATGAACTTTCCTTCGTACTTTACAAGCTTAGGACTGTCTGGAGTTAATATACTCGTGATCCAGGCGTACTTAAAAGTTCATTGATTTTATATACATACTTTTAACTATTTTATATGCACATTAAACCAATACACGAAACGCATTAACACAAGCAAGCATGCAAACACACCGTACAACACTCGCGCTCTTACCCCGTCACAGTGACAAGCGTACTGCTTTTCGACTTCGTTTAATTATACGCTTTTAACTAAAAAGCGTTGGTTATCCGACCAAATTTTAAAAAAGTGCATTATTTTACGTCGCATTATAATAATTCGCATGCTGTATTAACCGGCTCACGAAAGATGGCACGCCGACGCGGCGCTGTAGTCGCGCGTTCTATGTCTGTGATATTATGAAATATTTAGTTCCAAGGAATTCCGCGTACCCATTTTTCGATACTGTAGTGGACTAGAAGGATCGAAGTATGTAGTTTCCTGGCAAAGACATAGATGGCGGGATTTACACTTTTTAAGTAAGAAATATACTTTCACTTTTTTAAGTGAAAAGCTTACTCACACTTTTTTAAGTGAAAAGCTTACTCACACTTTTTAAGTGAAAAGCTTATAACGCTTATACTTAAAAGCGTGCTTACAAGCTTAATATTTAAAGCGCGCTTATTTAAGCGCTTTTCGTTTAAACGCCCACCGCTATCCACGGCGCAAGCCAAACCGAAGCTGGAACGCATTGTGCGTGCGCAATTGAAAAAGTTTATTTTGTGTTTCTACGATTGATTTATGTACTTACAAGAATCTTATAAGAATAGACGATTCTACTTTAATTACGTTGGTTCAAAAATACAATGAGCTGTATAATGTACAGAATCAAAATTATATGTTATAATTATTACAATTTATATTACAAACTGAATGAAAAAAATGAAGTGCCATGAGTGCGGCGACGGAAACGACTACAGTGACTGCGGTGCGGATAGATGTGCGTGTGCGAGGCCATTAACGAAAAGCGATGACTGCGTGGACTGCGTGGACTGCGTGGACTGCGGAGACTGCGGTGCGGCCGAGTCTGCGTTCACCTTTATTCATAATTTCCAGCAATTTAGATAGTTGCCTGCCTTTTTAATACACGTGAACGATTTGTCATATAACCTACTTAACCAACTTTATCTTAACAACGGAATTTACACCGATAACATAAAAACATGATTCAACATGAACGACCACAATTTCAATACTGAATTAGGAAATAAAATGGAAATCTAAAAGCAATAAAATAAAGGTTAATTCTATAAACTAGGTAAGGATATTTTCTTCAGAAATTTGTAACTATCACTCAAAAAATACTTGCTCGACGAGGAAAAACCAAGTAACCAAGGGCGTCCCAAGAGGGGGGATCAGGTTTAGTCCACTCATTTGACTAGTTGCCTGGCCAAACATTTCTGCTTTCTACCTTCCTCCACATCGAAACTCAAATGAATCCCTACTAAGTTTATACCTTTACCCGTCCATTTATGGATAGGAATTTCCAAGTTCTTCAGCCCATTGGCTGGTGAACTTTGTCCGTAACCAACTCATTTACTCGAATGCCAAATGTTTTGTGGATTAGGTGTACCTTTATAAAATGTTGTGTTGGACTTGTGGGCTCATCAGTATTAATAATTTTCAACTAGCCCCGAGTAAAAGATAATTCCATAGGTATTCATTAATTTCAGTTTATATTTTCGTTGCTATCAGAACCCACCAATGGCACTAATAACGGGGCACTAACGTTTGACTTCCAACTAAAATATCTTAATATTTCCTTGTAATTTTCAGTATGTCAAGCAATATGCTTGGCGGCACCGCAAATCGATGCTACGGCAGGGAAATCTGTTCGTATCATTGGAGGAAACTCTACCACCATTGAAAAGTTCCCATACGCAGTCCAGGTAAGTTCCACAGAAAAACTATTTATAAGTCCAAACACATTGATACCCTACTGTAGGTAGTAGTAGTTAGCGTATGTAAGTAGGTACATAAGAAGTACAACACTGTAGCTATTTAATTAACGCAGAAAGCACTTAGGGGTCTATTCCGTAATATATACCAGTATACTGGCCAGTGGTAATGACGTCACGAATCCGACGCCATATTGTACTGGTATGCTACCATATTTTACCGAGAAAACGAATATGACGTATGACCGAGCGTGCGTGAGATCCATTCGAATTTTATTTCTTTTTTATTTAAAGAACCATAACGGCATCCGAAGAAAACGAATTCCTTTTAATTGATGAGGTGAATAAAAAATCTTCTTTATTCGCACTATTTTTAATATTTCGTCGATTTATGACGTCAGTGCACTGGCCAGTATATTTCGGAACAATTCACCAGTAAAGCGTCGATTCATGACGTCATTAGCACTGCCCAGTATACTGGTATACAGGGCGTCCCACGGCTACCTCACACGGAGGGAAAGTATATTAAATATTGAAGACAGGATAATTTACTGAAAGAAGATATCGTTTTATTATTAATAATAATTAGAACTGCATTCTAACAGATTCGAACAGATTTTTTTAAAATCGTCTGCTACAACTTCCTAGTTGTACTCTGATTACTAGCGTAGGTACGTTTGTTCCGCGCATAGACTAGTGTATAGAGTTCCGCGTTAAAAAGCTCAGTCAGTATTCTCGTTCACACGGCGGGCGGCGGCTTTTAATCGCGACATTTTCCACGGAAAGTTAAAAATAACAGTAATAGATAATAGAAAGCATTAGCATTGGTAGGGTCCAAGATATTGTCCGGAAAATACTATTAACTTTTAACCATCTTTGGCGCATGAATGTTAACCTTTCAAAGTAGCGGCAGTATTTATCTTTTGCCCTTTATCCAGAATGGAAGTTGCGGTGCATATAAATTATTTGTAGGCACTAATATAATTATTGTAAACGCTGCCAGGTGAACGAGAATAACCGGCTGATCTGCGGGGGGTCGCTGGTGAGCCAGCGATGTGTCCTGTCTGCGGCGCACTGCTTCGTGAGCAGGTATCCATCATCATCAGCAGTGGCGGCGCTAGGCGTCGGCGACGTCGGCCACCGCCGACGGCCTCGCGCTTGAGGAGGCCTCGCAAAAAATTTTTACAAGTTACCTATTTATTTTCGTTTCTCCTGGCCTGGCTTAGGTAGCCGACCCCGAACAATTCGGGGAAAAAGCTAAGCAGATGATAATGACTTTTATTATTTTCGAACACGTGCGTGATGGAAGCTATTCGGAGGATGGAAGCGAGTAGTACTTTACGGGTATTCAGAATCGTCTGTCTGGCAACACTATTTTTGTAATTAAATTTCTATGTTTGTAATTATTTTTGTCATCATTTGATTATCAAAAATAAAACTCGTTTACTCATACGTTATTTTATAATTTGGCTCACTTAATTTAACGGTTTTTTACTGCGAAGTAAAAAGGGCCTCGCGAACTCGACGTAGCCGACGTCCACATGTGGTCTAGCGCCGCCACTGATCATCAGCCTATTAATGTCCTCACTGCTGGGACACAGGATTTCGCTATGGATGGAATAGGGAGATAGGCCATTACCCACCATGCGGACCCAGTGTGGATTGGTGGGTGCTAATGATTGCAGATGCAGCCGGGACCAACGGCTTAATATGCCTACTGAAGCATGTAGGAGCTCGAGATAGTAAATTTTTGGTCACCCATCCGAAGAACGTTGACGACCACTGCGAAAGTTGCTTAACTTCAACGATCGCAGCCAAAAGCGCTAACGACTTGCGCCATCCAGAATTGATTTCTCTGATTACTAGCGTAGTTACGTTTGTTCCGCGCATAGACTAGTGTATAGAGTTCCGCGTTAAAAAGCCCAGTCAGTATTCTCGTTCACACGGCGGGTGGCGGCTTTTAATCGCGACATTTTCCACGGAAAGTTAAAAATAACAGTAATAGATAATAGAAAGATCACTTCGAAGAGCCCATCTTTTACATTTTATTTCACGCTTTTCAATCTTATTACTAAAAAATCTATAATTATTTATATTTGCATGATTGAGCATTTAATAAAAATACCCAATATTCAAAAAATTAACAAATGATACGACTGAACGGTTTGCGTAACACGATCACTTCGGAGAGTCCACCTTTTGCATTTCATTTCAAGCTTTTCAATCGGCAATACGTGCAGGGTGACTGCATTTATATTTCACGCAAGCTGCAAGTTTGAAATAACAATGTGAAAAACACATTTTTTTTGCTACCAGGGACAAACTCACACCAAACGTACGTCTGTACTCGGCCCGAGTTGGATCCGCTGCACTGAATACTGGTAAGTTTTTTCTAATTTTGTTCTTTAGTTTAAACAAATGATGTTCATACAGTGATATAAGTCATCATCAGCCTATAAATGTGCCCCCTGGTAGAGCACAGGCCTTCCTTATGGTTGAAACAGGGAGATTACGCCATGACCCATCACGCGGGCCCAGTGTGGATTGATGGTAGCTAACGATTGCAGATGCATCCGGAACCAACGGCTTAACGTGCCTTCTGAAGCACGGAGGAGTTTGAAATAGTAAATATTGGTCACCCGCCAAATAACCGACCACTGCGAAAGTTGCTTTACTGCAACGATCGCAGCCGAATGTGCTAACCACCTGCAGCATCGAGCTCATCCATTGAGTAATATAGGTAGGTATTACATGTTTTATTTATTTAACTGTCTGGACTAAGTATATTCCAATTTCCAAAGATATTTTTCTTGTTTGATCATGACCTTAGATGAAAAATGAGAAAAAGAAACGGCAAAGTTTAAAGAAAAAGGAATGAAAAATATTTAATAAAGTTTTATATACACAACTTTGATGGGAATTGAAACCTCAGACATAGAGAGAGCCGTGAAACCAAATTGCAACTTGATCCAGTCACTCCGCTTTCCAAACGCCGTATTCGCTGGAGTCACTCATCTTCTTCTTCTGTATAGACACATTTAATTCATCATACTTTTAATATCTGTGAGACTTTCATGGGGCGGTATGTCCTGGATGCGCCGGACGCATACATATGATAAGTACTCATGAAAATAATGACGTTTAATATATAGACAGGTTATACGCCAACATTATTGCATTTTCAGTGGCACAAGTAGTCCCCGCCCCAACTTCCTTTGGTAACAGCCGCCAATAAGCAAAGAAGCAGCAGGCCCACCTGATGGTAAGCGGCCAACGTAGCCTATAGACGCTTGCGATACAAAAAATATCACTCCCACCGTTGCATACCCTGGCCTAGTCCCCTATCCCACGGAGCCCTGGAACCTTACTTATCGACAGACACCCAAAATGTAGCGTTATTGTAGATAGACAGATAACACTTTATTGTGCATCCCCACATTAAATATTACACACTAGGACAAAACTTAAAATAGTGAACAATTGGCGGTCTTATCGCTATATAGCAATATCTGCTAGAGAACCATAGGATGGAGAGATGAAATTTAATAAAAGAGGGGGTGTGCTAATATAACAGATACAAAATAATTACAATAAAAGATTCACGATTAAACATATGAATGAGTAGAGTAATGAGTGAGTTGGAACAGCACAAACAACTACTGTGAAAGGAAAAAATCTTTTATCTGCTTCTTAAATAAACCAATCGTCTGGGCACGTCTGATGTTAACGGGGAGAGAGTTCCATCACGCGTTATTGTACTTGGTCTTCTGTAAGGTAAACTTCCCCAGATGGGCGCTCGAATTCTCAGTCTTTAGGGTTCAGGGAATCACGCCAGCCATCATTATGAGTGTGTATAAACGTAGTTGTGTTTTCTTTCATGCAGGAGGCAGTGTGCATCAGCTGGTGACTATAGTGATCCACGATCAATACAACTACAATACTGAGGAGAACGACATCGCAGTGATGGTGCTGCGAGCCAACGTGACCCTCAGCATCAGTGTGATGTTGGTCCAGCTGCCGCTGCCAGGCTTGATGGTGCCGGACAACGCCACGCTCATGCACATCGGATGGGGTCGCACGCAGGTACATAATATTAAGCAGTGCCGGATTTCTACGCGGGGCTGTGGTTCAGGGGCTCCCTAGGTGCCATTCGGCATAGGCCAGCCAGAAGGAGGCCACGGAGAGGGAGCGGGAGGAGGACGCTTTAGCCGCTCCACTCCGACGTAGACGCCGAAGAAGGCAGGCAGCCGTGACTGCCGGTCTTCGTCGGCCCTAAGGTGGTCTGGGCGCATCTTAGCCACCGCGTGCCTTAGGTGCCATTCGGCATAGGCCACCCCGTCTGCGGATTGCCTAGTACTCTAGCGCAATCCCCCAGAGGCGTGTCGCCCGGTCCACTCGTTGGGCCGGGCCGGCCCGGGGGCGTCCCGGTGAAATGGCGCACACAGAGGTGCGCCGATCCTGAGACGCTCCCACATGGACGTAGGAGGGTACCAGTGAGTTTTAGTAGGTAGGACCCGTAGGTAGTAGGTCCGCCAAGGGATTTCTCATCGTCAAAGAAAAAAAAGAACTAGCGAATGCTGTTTCATCGCTTTCCCATACAAACTTCTCCTTAAGAGCGGAGGCGAGCTGAGAGACATTTGAGAAATAGGTATTTGAAAAAACTATTGCTGTCACGCATCGGCAAATACCGTGCGATAGGGACAACAGTAGCTCCACGCTGAAGATTGCGATAAAAACTTGGCTCCCGTCGATTCCCTCCTCAAAAATTTGATATATAGGGTTTTTCAACAAGAACTGTTTTTCAATTGTGGCTGCACCAACAATATGATAGTTTAGACATTTAGTTTTTTGACGTATTCGTAGTAAATGCATTGGAAATTGTTACAATGAATTCAATTTCGCTTGAAAATCGAATTAAAATAATTAATATCCACTATGAAAATAGTGGTTTTGTTACAGTTACATTTTGTCAAATTAGTGATATTTTCGGACAACATAATCGTCCTTCTGAGACCGCTGTTAACAATTTATTCGTTTTAAAATTGAGTCGACAGGCTCGATACTAAATGTGCCAACTCCAACGCATTATAATATACTAGGTATGTTTTGCTTTTTTTATAAATGCTTATCGAATCTCCGCACTAAATGTCTTTAGTGGTGATAAAAAATGGTTAATTTTTGGCATTTTTGAGGGCTTCTAGATTCTTTAAAACACAAGTTATCGAAAAAAAGAAGACTTAGGAGCATAGAATGAGTAAAATTATATTTTATGTATGAAAATCAATTCTTTAGTGTTAAAAATCAAAGAGGAATCAGCCGAGAACGTTCGTATGGAAAAAAACCTTTAAAAATCTTCTTAAAGGATGATTTCTGGGATAATTACTGTGTCCTTTTCTGGTACTAAAACTATGTATCTCTATCGTCTAAATACATAGATAAGTTTTATTCAATTGTTAATTTGGCGACCTCCGTGGCCGAGTAGTATATATGTTTATACTCCCGGTTCAAATCCTAGTGGGGGCAAATGTTAGTATGATGAATTCGAGCATTTGTACCTTAGTCATGGTTTATACATATTTCTTTATATTATATATATATGTAATCTATCCGTTAACCTAGCATCCCGTAACTCCAACCTTACAGTGCTTACTTTGGGGCTAGGCTAATTGGTATGAGTGTTTAAATGAGTACCTACGTAAGTACCTAAGTACCTACTTGTATAGATAATATATAACCTATGTATATAGCCATGACTTTGGTACAAGTGTGTTTCATTTATCATACAGAATCTGCCCCACCTTCTTCCGTCAGTTCTTCCTATGGTTATAGTAAGGAGGATTCCTTCCTAAACTATCATGAAAACGGCGAACCAACACAAGAATGACGTTCTGTTTCCAGGTGGACGGCGACTTAGCACAGGTTCTGAATATGGTGGCAGTACGCAAGGTGAATCATCAGATATGCGCGAGCCAATACGAGTTGCTCGATCTTCGCGTCTCCACCAACATGATCTGCGCTGGCCTGCTAGGCACTGGGGGTATGATATTTTTGACGTGACAACGTGTTATAATACGATGGAGCCGGCTGCACGCACGAAAAAACATGACTCATGCGGCGTTACCTCACTCTGAGGCGTTCCATTTAAGGCTTGAAGTGCAAGCGAGAGCCCGCTACGAGCGTCAAAGAGGCACAATCGGCCTCCGCGTTCGGCAGCGTTCGACGCAATCTTAATACGCCCCTGTCATGAGATAGTACTAGTGTTTCCACTTTTAGGATTACGCCCTTTTTTTAAAGCGAAATCGTTATTTATTTTAAAATATGCCAGGGTATTTTTTTCTTTATACTTCTATAATAATGAACTTCACATAGAAGTTCGTTTGATCATATATTGATGTAGAATCAAACTTTCTTTCTGACGAAAAAGACCAACTGTTATAAACTTACAGAGTGTATTTCATCTAAATAGGTGCAGACGCGTGCCAGGGTGACAGCGGGGGTCCCCTCATCTACCAATATGGTGATATGACCATCGTGGTGGGGGTAACGTCGTGGGGGCAAGAGTGTGGAGATCCGAACTTCCCGGGCGTCAGTGCTCGCGTCGCCAACTACACTGACTGGATCAACGAACAGGCGAGTTTTTATATTCCTATAGGGACTTTTGTCTGTAGAGGACGAAACGGGCCACACGCCACAGCCACAAACGCGGCCACGAGAAGCTAGAAGTGGCTACTAAAGTGGCTGAAGCGCGCGACAGCGGCCGACTAAGGTAAGGGAGAGAGGGTGGGGAGTCGCGCGAGTGACGTGTGGCGGCGTTTTGTATCGGCGCATTAAGTGGCCGGTGCGGGCCACAAGAAGCGAGCAACGACGATTTGTAGCGTGTGGCGGCCACCGGCGTACCGTGTGTGGCGAGTCCATATAAAATGTAGGAAAACTACAAGAAATACTACGCCGGTGGCGGCGTTTTGTGGTTGTGGTCGGTGGCGCGTGTGCGGCGAGACTACGCGATAATGTTAGGTTATTTAAGAAAAGATGTTTCACTTCACATGTGTGGTCCGTGCACTCAATTTTTTAATTTTTGTTGCAGATCGTGAAATATAACGCCAGTCCATTGTTGAGCACGGTCAACGTTTTAGTGCTTTTGGCGTCTTTGGTCGCTTCAATGGTGGTTCTAAAATGAGACTTATTATGAACTGTGACGGCGCGTTTAAAAAAACACGTTTTTTTAGTCAAATAATTGTAACATTTATTTATTTATGTAACATTTTGATTGTATATCATTAATTGTAATTAAGAACAATAAAAAGATATTAGTATTTTTTTTTATTTCTAAACCTTATGGCTTGATGTATAAGACCTAATGTTATATCTGTCTTTTCTTTAGCAAACGAAAGCGACAGCATCAGTTTTAGTCCAGATTTGAATTAAGTCTACGTTTTGTAATACAGGCTAAAAAGTTTAGTTATGAATCTTAAAATGTAACATCTTTATAATCGTTCTGTCCCCCTCCCTCATTGAGTGAAAAATAAAAACAACGTACTCTAGATATCTGAATTTATATACGTATATACGTATAATGACATAGTATATATTACATTAGCCAGTGTATCTCATGATCTGCGCTGTCCTGCTAGGCACTGGGGGTATGATATTTTTGACGTGACAACGTCTTGTAATTCGATGGGGCCGGCTGCACGCACGAAAAAACATGACTCACGCGGCGTTACCTCGCTCTGAGGCGTTCCATTTAAGGCTTGAAATTCAAGCGAGATCGCACTACGAGCGACAAAGTGGCACAATCGGCCTCCGCGTTCGGCAGCGGTCGACATCTGTCTCTTTCCTACTTGAGTGAGCGATGCGTCCGCGTGGACAGCTACTATACAATAATACATTTACATGTTTTCGTCAAGTACGAAGTGCAGTGAAAAGTGCACATCCGTACTTGTAAAAACTATGCACATTGTAAAAAAACGTTGTCACGTTCAACTATCGTCAGTAAACCGACTTTACAGACAACAGATTTTTTTATGTTAAAGGGTGGCAAACTTGCTTATGACCAGCCTGATGGTAAGGGGCTACCATATTTAGCTTAATGGCTCTCACGGTACAAAATATATCACTCGCTCCGTTGCCTACCCTGACCACATTACCTACCCCGTCAAACCCTGATACTCACCAACAGAAACACATCACCACCCAAAGGTAACACATTAGCCAGTTTATCCCCCAATTCAAGCGTGCATTTTCTTTCACTTTAAAAACAAACCAGTCCCACCATTTTCACAGTATAGGAAATGCTCAGAAAGGAGATTGCTCAGCTTCCATACATGTTTGGCCTAAAAACCAATAATCATGAAAAATTGTTTCCTAGATTCGAAATTATATATAAATTACTGTAGAAATGAATATTATTAACGGACACCCCTGAGAACTTCTATAAACCATATACACGGAACATATTAAAATAATAAATTTTAAAAACAAATAAGTTATATAGTAAACTAGGGAAATCAAGCCAAGTACCGAAATTATAGATTAGATTCAGGTATATAGAGCATGTAGATTAACAGATAGTTGCCTGTTTTTAAAGTTAATGCATAAGACAAACTTTTAAAATCAGGTGGGTTATAATAAGATACTCTGTGTCAGAAACTGTGTGATGATTTGGTGATGATTGTGAATGAGCCACAGATTAGAGAGAATTTTTAAACTCTATTTAACCAAAGAAAGCTAAGAGATTTAGGTTCTATAGCCGTATATTCAGTAGCTTCATTATTTTTGTTATGTTTTTAAGATAACCATATTTTTTATTTTTAGTGTATCACACCTTATAATTTTATTTATTTATTAATTTATAGCCAGGGAACGTAGGCCCATAGATAGATACCTTAAAGTCTAACATATATACAGATTATAATGTGTTTATGAAGTGTGGAAGTGTTTGGCGAAAAATGTATGGCAATAGACTTTATGATGTCGCCTACCATCTATAATAATTGTCTGAGCACATTTGCATCTAGTGAAAATGATAATATAGTGGTGGATGTTAATACCACAGTGTAATAAAAAAATGATTTATTTTATCGATCTTTACAAAATAGATTTGTTTTTATTTTATATAAATAACTTTGATCAGTCTTTGGCTGAATGTTACTACACCCATAGCCATTAAAAATGATTCGTATGTTTTCCAAACCGGTAAAATTAAAAGTCCCTTTTAAAGTAAATATATTATACAAAGGAGTCCGTTGAAATCTAATGACTGTAAATTAAATTATAAATTAGGCCAAGAATTACCGTGTATGTCAATATTTTTTGTGCATTTGGGCCAATTTGAGCAATCTCCTTTGTGTTCTTATTTCCATGCATTATGAATATTATTTTATGTGCCAATAAAAAAAAACCTAAGTATCAATAAAACTGGTTTTATTCCCTAGTTCCTACTAAATGTGTACACCCTACAAACTGTAGACGGATCTGAGACTAAGCAGAGAGCCGCGCAAACTCAAAGATCAGATCCGAGACAAAGCACTGTCATTGGATATTTGGGGATAATGTAATGTACAGATCTGAGACTAAGCAGATGGAGCGATGATGACTCACACACACATATGCAAAAAAAATAACGATTTTTTTTTGTATGAAATTGCTGTAAAAGTAATTATTTATAGTAAAGTTCTAAAATATTTTCTATGACAACTATATACGTTAGGCGCATGGCAAGAAAGCTCAGTTTTTATACATTGCAACACTTTCAATAAAATGTCACTCAGATTAGTAGTCAGTGTGACCAGATTCAGTATTTTAATACTTTTTCAGTATATTTCATCGATTTTTCCGAACTTCAGTATATTTTCAGGTATATTGCTGGCAGTCAGTATTTTTGGGTATATTTTGGTAAAAGTTACGGCAACACCGTAGTGAGTGATCGTCTTTGCGACAATGTTTGCGGAATTCCCCGGAACGCGAACATTGGGGACTGCCCCGGATTTAGTTTACCTATACTTATACATGTATAAGTATAGGTAAACTAAATCATAATAACATGTTATCTATGAGTAAGTTAGGCCGTATACAGAAAGAAAGCTGAAAGCCGATCGGCGCCGATCAGCGCTGGTCAGCTGGTCATTATGATCTATGTTGTCCGAATAATAAATAATTTGTATTTGAATTATTATCCTCACATTAAATCAATCTAAGTTATAATCTTTTTATAAATCTAATAACTTTATCTTTTATTAAAATTATTTGTTTCATACTTACCCAATGGTGACAACAAGTCTTTCTTCTGGAAGGATTGGTTGTTTATGCCAATTGCACCAATTTTTCATCAAACGGTTTTTCACTAAATCCAAAATGTAATAAAATGTTTCTTGAGTCATTCTTGTATATGTATAAAATCTTTGATCATCAAATTTATTTTTTTTTACAAATAAATGATGGTATTCTTAGAAACGTTTCCTTTCTCTATTTATAGGATGTATAGCTTTTTTCGCATTTTTAAATACACATTTTCTAACAAAACCAAATCATCGTCCGATGAGTCCGACATTTTGCTTGATCTGCTTTAATCGGCTTCCTTTATGTAGTAAGGATCGGCGCCGATAAGCGCCGATCGGCTTTCGGCTTTCTTTCTATATACGGCCTTACAGATATGACAAGAAAGACGGCCGTTGTCGGCGTTGTAGTATTGTAATACTACATATTTTATACAATTATCAATCAATACATAGTATTAATCAGACTTGCAGAATGTATGTTCGCCTAAAACTTTACAACTGCTTGACCGATTTTAATGGGGTTTGCACTATTAGATAGAGCGTGAAGAAATGAAGGAGGTTGTGTCAATTTTAATCCTTCGAAAAGGATGTTAAAATATAACTCTAACATTTATTGTGAGTACGTATGAATAAATAAAATGTGTTAAGAAAATCAGTATTTTTATTGGTATATCTGTCCTATGTAAGTCGGTATATTTCAGTAATTTTTTGAGGTGTCTCGGTATTTTCGTAAAATTTAATCTGGTCACACTGTTAGTAGTTAAGTAAAATAAAAGCGATGAAAAAAACATAGCGTAACTAGGTGCTATTTTTATTTATTTGTGAAAAAGTAGTGTTAATTAACTAAAAATGAATATTTATCGCGTTATAAATGAAAACATTTAGTTTATTTACGAGAAATATGCATTTTGAAACTTACATGTTCAATAATTACAAAACGAGATGAGTGTAAAGTGCGGTCACATAACAGTATACAATGGCGACATTGTTTACCATTTTCAAAATAGTTTTTATTAGTCAATCAATATTTGAAGTTACAATTGTAATATATCAATGGATAGCGCAGAGTCTATACTTTTGGGTATAAAAAATAAAAACACCAAATAAATCCGTTAAAATTCATTAAAAATCATTGAATTTTAGAAAAGAGAATATTTAGGAGATCGCTGCAATCAACTGCCTATAAAAAAATATAAATACGAAATGAAACAAATAATTATAGATAACAAGTTCTCTGGCTATTTACACACATCAAAAGTGTCTAGGGATCAAGCATTTTTATGCGGATTTCTTGAGATTGAGATGTGGCTTTGTAATAAATTTATGATTTTATAAATTTATATGGATCCTTTTTGGTGCATTTCATAATTTGAATCAGGAACTGTGAATCAAATTCGAGTAAAAGATGAAAATCAGCTGTCAATATTTTCCCTATAAAAACATACAACGCATTGAAGACATTATTAGTGCTACTGTTTCCCTACTACTGATTAAAACCAACGTTATTATGGAGCGGCGACGTCATTTAAGCAGGGAAGAAATGCTCAGAGCCGTGGGAATGATAGAAGCTGGTTCCCGGCAACGTACTGTGGCTTTAGCTCTGAATACAAGTCAGAGTGTTATCAGTCGACTTTGGACACGATACCGAAGCACTGGTACCGTGGCTGAGCGCCATGGAGGACGGTATCGCTGCACCACACGGAGACAAGACCGATACATTCAAATCTTAACTCGAAGAGCTCCAACAATAACCGCCATGATGTTAGCCGTGAGGCTTCATCACTCTTCAGGGAACTTAATTAGCGACCAAACAGTCAGAAACCGCTTGCATGAAGTGAACCTTCATTCCCGAAGACCGCTACGGGTACCACCTATAGCAATGCACAATCGTAGGATTCGATATCAATGGGCTCTTGAACACAGAAATTGGGCAGGAGAACAATGGCGTTTCGTGTGCTTTTCTGATGTGTCTCGTTTTAGTATGAGACCGGATACAAGACGTATACGACACTGGAGAACCCCTGGACGCCAACAGCGATTAAAATCCTGCCAGGAAGTCCATCCTTATAGTGGTGGAACCATCATGGTATGGGCGGGTATTTGGATCGGCGGAAGAACTGAGTTGATTTGGATCAGAGGCAACCTCAACGCTCAAATTTATGCTGAGACGATTGTATCAGACGTCATCGTTCCTCTACAAGTGCAAATCGGTCCCTTATTTCAGTTAATGCATGATAATGCACGACCGCACACCGCAAGAGTTGTAAGACAGACTCTCGCCGCAGCTAACATCAATGTCCTGCCCTGACCTGCTCAGTCGCCAGACTTGAACCCGATTGAGCATGCATGGGATATGCTACAGAGAAGAGCTCTGCCGAATATGGAGGGTATCCAGTCGCAAGAAGACCTTTTTTTGTTGTTGCAACGAACATGGGCGGCCATTCCACAGCATGATTTGGATGAACTCATTTTGAGTATGCCAAACCGATGTTCTTGTGTTGTTAGTGTTCGCGGTAGAAATACGGATTATTAATTGTTTAAGTTACCCAATAAAATTTTAGAGAAAACTGTTATTTCAGTCTTTTTTTCGAACTTTTGTGTTAGTGGTTCAAATGTCAAAAATCCCTTTATTAGGAAAATGGCAAATTTCTTTATTAATGCAAAGGTGACTTGGTTTATCGTTACTGTGACAAACGAAAACACTTTATTTGATGAATCCTTAAAGAAAATTTTAATTAATATCAATCAGGAGAATAGTTATTGCAAAAATATATGTTGATCCCTAGACACTTTTGATGTGTGTAGTTTCAACAAACAATTGTTAGTTTAGTATGTGTCAAAGAATTTCACGGAGATTTTCAAAGATTTCTAAGACGCAACGCGTTAGCTTTCCGCCCGAGCTAGATTCTTAGCATGCCTTGGTTACAGATGGCGGGCTGCTTTCGCAGGTCATAGGTAAGAACGATGAAAATATATATATTTTTTTTATTCATAAAACTTGTCCCCCCAATTTATTGGCGAAGAATAAGCTTTTCATAAGTTACTCCCATGTTTTGTTTTTGTTCATTGAATGACAAATGGCATTTGAGTGATATGAACAACCCCGGCGTAACTAGTTTCAGCTTATGTCTCGTTTATTATTAAGGGTCTATTTATCTTACTAATTATTAGTTAAACATTAAATAAAATGCTATTTTATTTATGATTGAGACAAAATTTTGGTTAAGAAACTTCTCTTTTTCTTACCCTGTTAAGTGAAAAATAAAAACAATGTTCTCTAGATATCACATATGAATATTTTATTTACGAGTAATGATATAGTATATATTACACGGTACGTAATAAATATAAGGTACAAGGTGAATCGCTACACATGTCATAACTGCACCGGCTGCAACGAGATGAGCACCACGTGCCGGCACCAGACTGCGGACAAAACGGACATTCTTTATTTCTTGCATTCAATTTAAGCCCCGTATCATAGAAATCTAGTCAGTAATTAATCTAGTCTTGAGCATAGATAGAAAGGGATGTCGCTATATATATCACATAGCGACATCCCTTTCTAACTGTACTCAAGTAAAGATCAACACTTAGTTTGTCACTCTGTGTAATACGGGCCTTAGTCTATAAAGGATCTGTGATGTCAGAATTAATACAAAGTTAAGCGGGCTGTTGACATCCCTGCCGCAGCAGGGCCAATCTAGGGCGCTCGGCGGTCGGGGCAATATCGGCTTGTCTCTACAAACATGCCTGCTATTCAATGTTCGGGTGTAAGTTGAGCTAAACACACGCGTTGATAATGGCCCCAGTATTATCAAAAAATCAAAAGATCGGTACGTAGGTTGTTAACTCCAGGAAATAATAATCCCAATCCTTTACAAGCATTTAATCTTCAATTAATATTAATATAATGTATCCTTTATCCTCCGTGCTTCGGAAGGTACGTTAAGCCGTTGGTCCCGGCTGCATTTGCAGTCGTTAGCACCCACCAATCCGCACTGGGCCCGCGTGGTGGGTCATGGCCCAATCTCCCTATTCCATCCATAGGGAAGGCCTGTGCCCCAGCAGTGGGGACATTAATAGGCTGATGATGATGATGATGATCCTTTATGCAAACAAACGAAGCGAGTACTTATTTTCTGGTGTCTTGTCTTCTCTCAAGAGCCGTTATAATAAAAAACGATTGTTGCCGACAACGCCCGTCGGCCGCGGTCGTGATCATTCGGTAGTGTTCGGCGGTTTGCGTATTTCCCGCGCGTAGTTCAAGCGCGAACATAGGTCCTTGGCTCTTTCTATGGTGTTAGCGCAAAAAATGAAATTCTGGGTGAAGAATTGGCATCAGAAAGAAATGTATTGTAAATAAATAATGTTTTGTGTTTTTTTATCCCACATTTGGGGCCGGTCTTTATTTGATTCTATCACTCTAGGCCAAACTTCATGCCCATTATGGTCTATCGCCATCTCGATCGAAATACGCGCTCCGTGTGACAGCTACCAACTAACTGGTTGAGAAATTGCCACGATCGCGCTACACACGCGGTAAAATGCAGGTGGCCACCGCAGAAGGTTTTTAAATGCCCCGCACTCGTTTTTTTTTCTTTTGTATTGGTCACAACAATATTTAAGACAATGAGCATAAGGTATTTGAAAACCTTCGGCGATCAGAAATAACAAAATGAAATCGATAGCGATACCCATAGCAATTCCGTTAGGCGATCGACCCCCGGCATGGACAATCTAGGAATCAAGGGTGGTATCGCGCCTCTTCCGCAGGGTCAATTCAGAAAATTGCCCCTGCTTGCCTGCACACAGCACAATTAAGCGTCGTCCGCACTCTTACACAGTAGCTTGCCCCTGCGGCAGGGATGTCAATAGCCCGCTTGCGTAAATCGCGCTTTAAGAGCCTACGCTGCGTTAAGCGGGAGCGCAGAGCGGGCGTCCGCTCCACGTGTTTGTTTTTCACGTTATTTCATGTCGCTATTCTATGAAAAGACCTAAAAACTGCACGCGGCGCGGACGCCCGCTCTGTGCTCCCGCTGAACATAGCGCAGGCTCTTAATCCGTTGTAAAAATGTTTTAGTAAAGGAGTGGTGTGTGTGAAAATTTAAAATATAAATTATTTGAATTTATTTTGACATCATGAAAAAATCTTCTTTGACAGTGTAAGCAAACTAATTAGTAGAGTTGATACAATCGATTGTATGTCAACCTAAATTCATCGTTTAATACTTTGAAGTTTTGGAAATACAATAAATAAAATTAACAATTAATACAATTTTTTCATTTGGTTTATTTGTTAATGAAAAATGTTCCTCACGCTAAGTAGCCTTAATTAAAAATGCTGAAACAGTTACTTTAGGCTTAATTAAAACAAAAATCCCAAAACGAAAATGAAAAGGTTACACTTTTCATTTCATCAATTTGAGGTTAAAATTTAGAACAATTATTATCTATAATTTTTATTATTTTTAAAGTAGAACAATTATTATCTATGATTTTTATTATTTTTAAAGCATGTAAATGTTTAAATCTAAAGAATATATAACTATAGTCCATTCACTTTGGCGTGAGACAAAATGTAAACAAACCATAAAATGGATACTTTTTAGGGTCACGTTTGACAAAAGCAAAGATTAAATACTATTTACATAGGAAATGCAGCGAAAATTTAAGTTAATTATTTTAAAACCTGTTACATACATATGAATAATAAAATAAAATATTTTACATTATATTCAACGTACATTCACATCATAAATTCGTATATTTTTAATTTGCTGGTAAAAGTATTTTAACAACTTAAGTTGACATGAAAAAAGACCTAAAAACACAATCATTCCCAAACCTAAGACGTATTATAATACGACAAAAATTAAGAGTAGACATGATACAAGTATTTTACATTGCAGTGTTGTGTTTTGTAATCGGTTGGTTAATGTCAGCCATCTTTACTCTCCCGATCAACCTGTTGACGCGAGCGTGCTTATTCAATCTTATTTGTTAAATTCTTGTTATTTCCTTATTTTATTTGTTGAGTTTGTTGTTATTTTATTTACTGTTAAGTTTAAAGTTGTTTGTGATTGTTTTCTTGTTTAATTGACGTTTTCGTAGCTATAGTTATGAGTGGTGAACCGGGACCAAGCAGCTCTTGTACATTTTCTTCGCCGAAGAAAAAGCGTACAAAGAGTGGACCATTGCGCTCCAACGAAAAGGAGCTCGTGATAAATGTTTTTAAACATGTTGAAGAAACCTGGCCAAAAGATTCCTATCCATATAAAATTGATATAATCAATAAATCCGCCGAAATACTGCGCATATCACGAGCTACTGTTTACCGGTTGGTGAAGGAAAAGAAAAGTACTGGCCGTATCTCATCACCTCCGCCTCCGCCGTTTAAAATATCTTTGTTGGATAGGATACATTGGACGATATGGATAAGGCTGCGATACGCCGCAAAGTCCACACATTTTTTTTTAATAAGAAGATGCCCGCCGTTGACAAAGTATTGCATGCTGAGAATACAGATGAAACTTTGCCCAACTTTAAGAGGACCTCTTTTTTCAAGTTGATGAAATCATTACAACTTAAATATCCGAAAGAATGGGCTTATTGAAAGAGATGACATTGTTTTATGGCCCATCAAATATTTAAATAATATTCTAAAGCTCAGGAGCGAAGGTAGAACTATTTATTACACTGAAGAAACTTGGATAAATGAAGGTTAGTAAAATACAATATTAAACTACTTTATCCTGTGGGAAATTTACTTCTGAATGAAATTATATTTCCTTTTGTATTCATAAACTGATAAACTAAATTCATATTTTTTATTGTTTATCATCACAGTACTAAAATATATTATACTCTTTTTATAAATATTGAATGATACTTATTATTTTCATACCATGTCTTTATCCTGTGAAAATGTTACTCAAATATGTTGTGTCATGTTACCAATTGTATTAAATTATTATTGTTTTTATTTTTCATAAGTTATTAATGAACTTATATTTGTTACAGGACACACTATGAACAAAATTTGGCAAGATCATACAATTAAAACTGCGAAAGAAGCTCATCGAGAGGGATTGTCAATAGGATTGAAAAACCCAAGTGGAAAAGGGAAGCATCTGATTGTATTGTACATATGGGCACAAGTCAAGGGATATGTTGGTAAAAAATAATAAAACATTTAAGATGACTGAAATTAAAAATTAGCCGATGCCTTACAATCAATCACAGCTGAATCGTGGAAACGGTGCATTGACCATGTCATTAAAGAAGAGCAGAAAATGCTGAAATTGAATGGTATTGTTGATGATGTTGTGGATAAATTTATTATTAAAGTTGGTGGCAGTGCATCCAGTGAGTTGTCAGACAGTGAATAAATATTATTTGCAAAGTATTATACTGGTTTCATTTGAAATACACATTCTTTTATTATATTTATCATCAAGACAGAATTCATTATAATTTTAATATAGGTTACATAAATTATACCTAATCATTGACTAGTAGGTACTTTCTGACATTATAAAAGTTTTAGAACCTCAGATTCTTTGTTTACATTTTGTCTCAAGCCAAATAGACTATAGAAAAAAAAACCATCTGCTGCTTGGTCCGCGTGGATTTTTTTATATTATAGTTATATTTTCTTTACAATTATTATCTGTCAAATTCAATTTTTAGTTCCAAAGTTTTGTGAATTAGAGTAGTTCTCAACTGTGCAAGTGGCTCTCAAAATCCTGCCTGTGTTAGCTCTCTATTTTGTTTATCACGATTTTCCTCTTATTATTCGAGTTCTACTGTACACCCAGGCTTTATTTACGTCTTAAATCAATCTTGAACAGTTTCTCTACAAACTTATCTATATATTAGATGTGTAAATTAAAAACCATTACTAAATATGATAAAACAAAATATATGAAAATAATTTTCTCAACTCTTGGCAGAAATCTGCCTTTTCTTTGAAAGTTTTGCATTTTGTCCAGCTTTTTAATTTGTCCGGATTTTATTAATTAGAAGGAATATGAGTAAAACTACTTATTAAGTTATATCAAATTAGTCAAAAAAAATCTCTATTAAGTTCACATTAATTTAAAAAAAATATATAAATATTCATTAAAAATCAACAACGAGACCCCCTCGCGATGCGAGCGTCTGCTACCACGCATATAATATCACTGTTACTAAGTGGGTGATGTTTGCATTTTGTGACTAAAATATCCGGCTTTTTGTCAAGACTTTTAAATAGTAACTCTACGTAGAAGAGGCTATTCGCTATGTGCGAAGTACATGGTGGGGGTATAGTGAAGCGATCGCAGCGCTTATCGTGGCAGAAATACGCAACAATCCGGGAAAGTAAAGTCAATTTGCACGGAGTTCGTAATAAACAAAAATTTTTTAAAATGCCTATTAATAGATGTTGTTGTGTTGTGAATTGCAAAAATAAGGGCACAAATAGTCTGTGTATATATTTCCTACATTGGACTGGAAATTAAATCAAAGAAATAAATGGATAGATGCCATAAAAAGAAATAAGTAAGCGAAATAACCTTAAATTATGATCAATTTTATTTGCGCTATATATTTTATGTGATATTCATTATTGTCTTTATTATTTTAGTGTTGATGGGTCGCCATGGTATCCCAAACCTGACGACACAATTTGTAGTGAACATTTTATGGGAAACAAAAAATCAGACGAGGAAGAAAATCCGAGTTATGCTCCTACGATATTCCCTGAAATATATCGAAAGAGGAAGGTTAATGATTCACAGGTCCTAGCTAGATATACACGCTTGACAAAACGAAGAACCACAAAAGTCTCAGATACCACATCAAGTCAAATAATAATTGAAGAAGGGAGTGAATTAAATCAAACTCAACCTTTTATGATCGATCAAGGATGTCAAGTCAATATGTTTTCTGAATCGAAATTAAGAGATACAACTTTTATTTGTATTAGATTAATTTACAGTGATCACTGTGATCCAACATCAAGAATTTTAATGACAAATAATTCAAGAAAGAAAGATAAAAGCTGTGGCACTGACAAAAAATCGTATGAGGATCAATCTACCGAAACAAAAAGTCAAGAATTTGTTGGTATTTCATCAATAACAAATGATCAAGAACTCCTAGATCCTTCTGGTGTGTCATTTAGCAATTTTGAGTTTTTATTAACAAGATTAACTATGAGAAAATGTACAGTTTCCACTAAAGACCGACTTCTGATTTTTTTGATAAAAATGAAAACTGGCTTGACATTTTCAGCATTGAGTGTGTTATTTGGTGTACAAAAAAACCACAATCTCACGTATATTTCATTCGATCTTACAAAATCTAGCTTGTTCAACTGCTAATTTAATCTTTTGGCCGAATAGAGCCACCGTACAAGCACCAATGCCCAAGTGTTTCAGTCCAGATTACATCAATACAAGAGTTATTATTGACTGTACTGAATTCCGAATTGAAATCCGACATTATTTAAATTATTATACAATATATAATAATTTTTATTTATCTTTACCTTACTATATTTACTAGAAATCAATAAAATACAAACTGATGTCATTATTTGGCATAATCCCGGAAAGTTGCGCATTGTAGGTGGCGCTACTGTCGTGCACATAGCGAATAGTCACCTCTGTCGGTAAGTGTGTGTTGCACGACCGCGTCGGCCCTGAGGCCGTGGCCGTCTGTGAGCGCAGCGGAGGCGGGGGCGGTGGTACAAGCGGTGGCGGAAGCGGACGCGGACGCGGGAGGGGTTAGTAGAGCCCCCTCTCGCCACCCGTCCGTCGCAGTTAGTTCTGACGACCGCCACTTGAGGAGTTCTTCTACTGCGCTTACGATCTCTGCGCCCTGTAATCAAATAACACTTTAAAATAAAAAAAAAACGAGCGAGCCTTACAGTAGTCGCTCACCTTATATAATATAGTAAAAAAAAAAAAACCTACTACAAAAGGAATAACCCATTTGAATATTATGTTCTAAAATCAAATCAAATAGCGGGCGCTTCTCAAACTTCCTGTTACACACTTCCGTCCCACTTCACGTAATCACAAATTGCACGAAAGCGAGAGGTAAGATGTTACACATCATAAACGAGTGTACATATAATAAAATGGTAGGAAAGTCAAAACTGTACATTGAATATTTTTTTGAAAGAATACTTGGGGTGTGATCTACAATCGACGTTTCGCATCCTTTGCAGGAATGCGTCGTCAGAATTGTTTTATTCAGTATATTCAGTAACATTACCTGTGGCGGATTATGTGCAACGGGCGTAGAAGGCGTAGGCGGATAGGGGCGGAAGGCGGGGTCCCTGTGTAGGGGCAGATCCGGGGACAGCACCGTGCAGGTCAACGACCGGGCCGAATCCACCACCAGGAAACTGGTTTCCTGGTTGTCAGGAGAACGAATCTCCACAGGCGGCTGCTTCGGCGATTCCGCCTGCTGAATAACATGCAAAAGCCTTTTAGATATACAACTGTCGAACTACATTCACTCACCGGTGTTTTGACTGTTAGGCAGCTGTTTATTCTTAATGCTATTCTGTACACACATCTTCGCCTCCCCATATAACCCTGAAACTGCCAAAAGTAGGCGTAGATGTGGTGGAGTTTGCAAAATTAGTATATGCAGGCTGTAACATTGTCTCGTCGCCACCTTTCAAACATTGCTCCTATGTTATATAACAGGGCCAGCAAAATCATTGACATATATCCACTTACCCTTAATGGTAGCTTTCCAATTATAGCGCATTATGCGGCATAATGCTTAACGATGAGTGTTCCAACTACAGCAACGCTTCGCACAATCGAGCACTCTCAAAAGTAATGCTTTCGTGTGATGCGTGCAATCGTACCAACTCAGAGACATAAAATTAAGAAGTGTTTTTGACGTGACAACGTCTTAAATTAGGTTGCGGCTGGGAGTCACTTATGAAAAAGTGTAACGCTCGGTAACGTTACGATGAGTCTCTCGTGTTAAGTTTAAGTTTACATGTACAATGTTTTAGTAAACAAAATATATTTCTATAGTTAAAATTTGTGCAATTCTTATTTTCATTCAATTCCTTGTTCCTATTGTGCAATTTAATTATATTCATATCAATAAATATTCTACCGAGAAAAAGACGTTGTCACGTAAAATCTTCGCCCGTAAAACCGACTTTACAGGCAACCATTTTTTTTTTCCTTAAGTTGGCATTGATCGAAATGTTTTATTTATATGTTATCGTTAGTAATATTATTTATTGTTGAAAAATTATTAAAACTTTCGTTTCATTATAGTTTTTTTTAAATAATCAAATTTAATTCAAACTATGTTAAAAATCAAATATAAGTATGGATGAAGGTACATTGACTTTTTTTTCAACACTGAACTTAGCGCACTCTGCTGGTGCATTTGACAACTAATTCACGTTCCAATTATGCATCAGCGTAATTCGGCATTGTGCGCCACTGAGTCGCATTATGCTCTGTAATTGGAAAACCACCAATAAGCGTAAGACGGTTGCTAGGCAGTGGTTACATTCCCTTTCATATGATGAAACGGAGAGCTTACTCAAGGTCATCAAATAATACACGGATATACATGTGAAATCACATGCAACTATCATTTTAGTACAGTCGTACACTCACTCTCATAAACATACACGCATGCACATACAAACACACACACATACATACTTTTTATTTTGTAAGTAAATGGTAAGATAACGACTGTACTTTTTGTTTATTTATATAAATATGGAACACACGTCTCTGTATCTGGAGTTGGGCGCTAATAGCTGTAACACAGTTCTAGAAACTAATATAGCTATTAACGAACCTAAATTATACATATAACTTAATTAGTTCCAATAAATATATTTTTTATTTTCATTTTCATTCAACATAAACATATAACACACTATCCAAGTGGCAGTATATTCAAAGGCTAATTCACAGTTCGGTAAGTACAGTAGCAGGTTAAGTTCTTACCATTGCTTGGACTTAGATTTGCCAGTTATGTACTTACATACTGCTTAATAGTTGTTTTGGATTTCTGTACTCGCTGCTGTACTTAGCACAATGTAAATCAGCCTTAAGCAAGAACAATAACGCCCAACTCACAGTGAAAAAACACCCTATTTTTAATGAACTTGTTTCTGTCAATGAATAAGATTTACAAGGCCTCACGTGATAGGGACGGCGTAAGTGTTTTTTGTTTAAGTTAAGCCTTGATGACACGCGGGCTGGCGCGCGGCGATCAGTGATCACGTAAGTGTCGGCGGCCTGTGCCCAGCGGTGGGGACAGTAATAGGTTGATGATGATGATGAATGTCCTCACCTGCCCTCTGGTGGGGTCCATGATAAGGGCGGGCTGCGTAGCTAGAGCCGCGGTCACGAGATAGGCGGGCGTGCGGCGATCCGTTATCACGTAAGTATCAGCGCCTTCTGACATATCGCACGACACAGAGTCCAGGTTTCCTTCGGCGCCGTCGGTGCCTTCCGCGTCGCCTTCCTCGTACGGCGCGGAGTTCGAGAGATCGAGTTTCTCTTTCGCTATTAAATATTGAATAAAATCGTTTAAAAATAGCCCTTGCTGAGTTTCTTGCCGGTTCTCCTCAGTACAAGGTCTCCCGCCGTCGATTTACGAACCGATGGCGTAGCGTTTGACATTCACAAGAGCTTGTTACAGCCTAGACTGACTAAATGAGTTTGAGTTTATCAATTTGTTGATATGTGGTACTAAAATACCAGTGTGATGATATAAGGTAGGTAAAGTACGTTGCACTGTTCCTGGCAGACACTTTTTGCGAAATAGATAACATGTCTCTAAAAACATATCTCTTCAAACATTTTCTTTCCTGATGATTTATGGAAATATACGTTTTTGAACAATAAATTAATTATCATTAATAAGAGATCGAATGGTACGGTAATGGGCACATTCGGTTTGAAATTGTGGAAATTGAAAAATTCAGTACCTCAAGCTAGCTCCTCAGTGTTTGCTTCGGATATATTATCCCTTGAGGAGCTCGATAGCGCATTCGGCCTGCAATCGTGTCGGTCATTGGATGGGTGACCAAAAACTTACTCCTCCGTAAGCCGTTGGCCCTGGCTGCATCTGCAGTCGTTACCCACCACTCCGCACTGGGCCCGCGTGTTGGGTCACAGCTCAACCTCACTATTCCATTCATAGGGAAGGCCTGTGCCCCAGCAGTGAGAGCATTAATACGCTGATGATAATTCTAATAATATCTCACCGTGTGCGGGCAGCAGCCTACATAACGTATACCCGCGGCAAGGGGCGCAGCGAGACACGCGGTAAGTGCCGCCTTCTACACCACCCTCCCATTCTGCTGATAGATCTGGAACAATACAATAATAACAATATTCTTTATTGTATTACACCATACAAGACACACAAGTAAATTAAAAACATGACAGATAACAGAACGTACACAATATAGGCAGCCTTATTACTAGGCAGCAATCTCTTCCAGGCAACCCATAATATATAGATAAATAAATACGAAGGAGAAAAGGAGGGGTGTTATAGAAAATAATAATAATATCAATGGCAGGAAAAAAGATATATCTAAGGAAGGAAAGAGAGAGGATGGAGGAAATTTTTAACATCACTGTTGGGATAGGAAATACCTCCGAACTTGATACCTTAACGAGTACAGATATAAAAGACAACCACTAATAAGTCGAGTCTGAACCAATTATCGTCTTCCATCAAACTTAGTTAAAGGTTTAGTCAAATCAGAAATACACTCCCGGATACATTTATCGGCCCTTACGGCGCGATTACATTTGGCCGTTAGCCCAAATTAGAGTCCTATGGAATTCGATTAAACGACGAAACAACGAGTGAAAAGGGAAGTTAGAGTCGTGCGCCTGTGTTCTGGTAATTTACTTTTGTTTACCCGACACCATCTTCCAGTATAAATATTGCTTCGATTAATAAGAGTAATGTCTTTCATGCACCCGAATACGGGCTAACGACCAAATGTAATTACGGCATTAGTGTTATAAGTTCGACGGTTTGTAGCACAAAACCACGTAAAACTAACTACGTAAAACTTTATGCTCATTACAACTTTATTTTTAAGCTGCAGAGCGTCAAAACTTTAAATGCTAGGTGGGCAGAAATATGCGTCCGGAAGTATATTAGTGACTGTTTGTGAAAATCAGGAGAAATAATCTATGCCTTGCTGAGGATCACTCAAAGCATTGCTCCCCATCTGGAGAAAAGCCTCCTTATCGATGATCACAGTTTAACAACACAAACGTTTGATGGTGTTGTGTTACTGTTTATGAATAAGATACCAGTGCTCAACGAGTAAGAGCCGCTATCTCTTCAGGGTAGGTACTGACGCGAGTGATACTCTTTAGGCCTATTTGCATACTGTTTTTGACAGATGGAAGTGATAACTGATGATCCACTACTGCTTTATTACAACGCCACTAAGATATTTGTTCTGAAAAGCAATTTTCCTTTTAGTTACACTGTTGTAAATGTCAAAAAGTTGGCAAATAGGCCGGCAGGTATCAGTAATGTGCATGGGCTATGGCGGCCGCCTACCATCAGGCGAACCTTATATTAGGTTTGATTTAAAAATTATGTTGAACTAATTTATTGTGCACCTATCACCCAAATTAAATAATTATCGTTTACAAATAAGAATGAATAAGTAGGCTGAGTAACCATTCCTTAAATTAAATAAATAATTTACTTTGAAATACTAAACATACCATCGTATGTGTTGACTTGGCTGTCGTCGTTAGCTGCGAGCATATCGTGTTGTTCAGCGTTGTGATCTATGAAAACGTCCTGGAATAAAAAGTACATCTTTATAATTATCCAAATTATAATCAAATTGGTAAATCTTTTACAGAGTGTAGCCTGTCATCGGCATTACAACAGTCTGTCCTTATCATCTTTATAAGGAATGAAAAGGTCAAACTGGTGTCAAGTTTACAAATAGCAAACACGAGTAACAAGTGAAGTGCAGGCACTTCATTGTCGTCGAAATAAAACGATAAACAAAGTCGTTAATGCCACCATTAACGAACTTGGTTATCGTTAAGCTATCGAGATCTTAGCCTGCTAGGATAAAGCCAGCATTACGATATACTATAATCTAAATTATTTTTACATTTAGAGTGAGCTAAAGTCACAGAGAAAATAAAATACCCAAAGCTCACTTGGCTAAGACACGATTCACAGTCGCAACACGAAACAAGTTTTTTTGTTTACTTCATTATAAGTAGTACATTTTTATCTTATAATTAAATTGGGTTCATATTTTTGTCTTAATTGTTATAGAGAATATCTACGTAAGCGCTGCTTTAATGGAATTTTCCTTTATATATCCTACTCATATAAATGTGAAAATTTGGATGATTGTTACTCAATCATGCAAAACCGAATTTGGATGAAATTTAGGGCACGTTTGAAACCGATAAAACTAGCCATAACGCGGACGAAATCGCGGGAGAAAATTACTTAAAAAATTAGTGATGGCTATTAAGGCCTCGTTGTTTCATTTAGAAAATGTGACAAATTTTGACAAATGATTTTCTGTATTTATTTTTTACTTCAGATGATACAACGCAGCCAATGTAAAAGGTCAAGAATTGATACTTATTGCACGACAGCTAAAGAATATTGTTAGATTGAGTGTTTTCACAGTTCGTTACGTTGCACACAGCGCTGGGCCCACGTGGTGGGTCACGGTGCAATCTGCCTATTCCATCCACAGGGAAGGCGTGTGCCCCAGCAGTGGGGACATTAATAGGCTGATGATGATGTCTTGTGACAGGTTGTTAACTAAATGCCTGCAATACTTTCATATGCATATCTTAATCATAAAAATCCTAGTAGAATCATAAGTATGGTAGAAATAGTTGATGTCGAGAAAGCTAAATAAAGATAATGATGAAATAGCCTACTCGGAAAGGCTGATGATGATGATCATTACGAAATGTTCCACAGTAAATCCATACTCTATTCAACTTTCTCAGAGACAAAAGGTAACCAGACCATAAAAATGTTTTTCAATAGTTGAATTTCATGCACATGACTTTAAAAAGACATATAACTGTAGCTATTCCCAACCTTTGAACGCATTATGAAACTACTAACTTGAAGAGTAGTGATAAAGCAAATAATAATTTACGTTGAAATGTGACATTTTGTGATCAGTCTGGTTACATCAGCCATCTTTACTCTCGATTTAGTTATCTCGATAAAGTTTTAGAAACATTGGTTAAATTTGTTTTCATTCTGTCTCAGAGGAAGTTGAATAGAGTATAGGTGTGTGATCATTACCTTCGGCGCATGCTTATAGTGCAGGCTGATCTTGCTGAGCTCATGGTCGAGTGCTGCCAGCTGGGCCACGTGTCTACCCGCACCCCCTTCTGGCCCCTCAACACCTTCGGCCTTCAGACAAATATACGACAAACATTACAAAACGAAAAATCTTTATTAAACTGTTACCAGCCAGCATTATATTAAGAATCAAATTATATAATTGATTCGCTTCATTCGACATAATTATATATATAATATATGGCCGGATATAAGTATTATATCCGGCCATTTGACGTCTGATGATAGCTGCTTAAGATGTATTGATTGCTTAATGTAGAGATTGGTTGATTGCTGAGTTGAAACAAATAAAACACGTCAAGACAGACCATAGATAAATAATAAAAGGGCAGAGATATTGCTTATGTTACACTGTCCCCTCTTCTTCTCGTTCGGTTCACTCTTGTCAGAGTACTCGTGATCATGATGAGGCATCTGAAGAGCGAGCAGAATAGCTCGCCTTATGATGTCTCACCACCTTGCTCTATTCGTGACCTATCTCGTGCATTCATTAATAGGGCCTCCGATTGTAGATTTAATTTGGTCAGTATATCTCATGGGTGACTTGCCACGGGATCTGGTACCTTCTACGGGAACTGGTACCTTCCACTTTACCTTGAATCACCAGAGGTTCTATGGAATCATGGTTTCGCCTGGACACATGTCCAAAGAACTTAAGTATACGTGACTGCACTTGTGTTGATAGACGCTGTTTGATGCCGATTTCTTGAAGTATGGATCCATTTGTTCGGAATTCCGTCCATGATACACCAAGGATTCTTCTCCTGCATCACATTTCGAGTGTATCTATCTTTTTCTTTTGTATATCACGTAAAGTCCATGTCTCTGACGTATATAAGAATATGGGGAATAGAAGCGTACGGGCGAGCCCGGCATTTGTGGTTTTTGTTACATTACGATTCCTCCATATTTTCTCAAACTTCTCCATCGCGGCTCTAGTTATCGCCATTCGTTTTTTCACTTCATCTACGCATACACCGTTGTTTGAGATCAATGCACCGAGATATATGTACGAGTGGACCACGCCACAATTAGTAATTTGTGTCGTTTGTTGTGAATTATCATTAATGCGGTCTACTATTATCATTTTGGTCTTATTTCGATTGATCTTTAACCAAAACATTAGCTTCACACGCTTCATTTTGAGAAGTAATTCTTCCATATGGCTGGGACTGCTTGCAAATAAAGTGGTGTCGTCAGCGTAGCGTAGACTTATAGCGTAGTTCTATTGTAGAAACCAATTATGACTCCATCTGTCCAGTCTTAAAGAGTTATTCGCCTAATGAGCTTGGTGTAGGTGTTGAATAACAGTGGTGATATTATACATCCTTGCCGAACACCAGCACTGGGATGGAAGCTTTCCGAAAGAACCTCATATATCCTAACTGGGGCAGTTCCCCCTTCCTACAGTTGCCTGAGAATGCACTAAGTGTCTTGGTGTACCTATTTCCAGGAAGGTGTTTCACAACTTTGGCCATGACACAGCATCAAATGCCTTGGAGAAGTCAACAAATCAGTTGTATGTGGGCTTATTGAATTCCCTAGCTTTCTCTATAATTTATTGGACTATTATTTGTTCGCGAGCGACCTTACCTTTCATACAACCCAGGCTGCTCCTGCGCAAGTCTTTCACAAAGAATGTGCAATACAGTATTTTGCTTGTATGACTTTTAATAGCAAAAAAGCGGTAATTACTACACATCTTCTTGAACCCTTATTAAGTAGAGGCATGAAAACTGTGTGAATCCATTCCGTCCCCTACTTGACCATAATTAAATAGCACACTAGATTACTGATTACTTAAATTATGATATCAAGCTTTCTAATAGCTCCGAGATAAGCATTACATAATTGAATTTCTTGAGCTTTTGTAAATGAACATAAGCAATTCATACCAAAACATGTAAGTTCAATGGATTGAGAAAAAATACTGTCAACAGAATATGATTATACTTTAAAAGAAAAGAAAAAAAAATTAATTACAAAAGGAACTTGCGTATTTTACTTAGGTATATACCAGTTTTACAAGAGTTTAGGCTTTCTAAAAATTCAAACTGTAGAAATCAATCCTGACTGCGTGTATGTTCCTACAAAATACAAACAAAAAATATAAAATAAAAAAAAACAGCGAGCCTTACAGTAGTCGCGTATGATGATTGTAACATTTGAAACCTCACCTTATATTAGTAAAAAAAGAAATAAAACCTACTACAAAAGGAATAAGCCATTTGAACATTATGTTCTTAAATCAAATCAAATAGCGCGCACTTTCGCGACTTCCTGTTACACACTTCCGTCCCATTTCACGAAATCACTCCCACAAATTGCAGGAAAGCGAGAGGAAAGATGTTACACATAAAAAATATAGTAACAACCAAACAAAACATACTCTAATGAAATGCTGTGCTTCAAAGATGTGTTACTTTCATATAAACGCCTTACCTTCGCTAGTGTGTGTAACGGTCGGTGCGTAGGTGATAGTGCGGGACTGTACTCTAGTGGGGACTGCGGTGACACGGGGCCCTACGGGCAAAGTAAAATAAAATAATAGAAAAAAAAACTCAAAATAATCACAAAGTAAAAATAGATTTAAATAGATTAAGAAAAGTATAAATAAATGTTGGATTTGAATCTGGCTCACTTTATTGTGTGTATATACGAAAAACGTTTCCATTTCTAAAAGATTAACACAGATTTAGATGAGTCAAGGCTGTCCATAGTTTACTCGGTTCGAAGGCTCATAACCTATCTGATATGGACATAGAAGCTGATCTTTGGTTTTTTCATTCAATTTTTCAATACAAATAAATAGTACCTAAGTCGTAGATATATTTAAAAAAAACACAGAAAGTTACAATATTATTGGAGAATAAAGAAAAAAAATAACTAAATCTTAAGTTTGTTTCAGGTTACCCCTACGTTCATCAATAGCACACAATGTAGAACGCTAAGTGTTATCATATTTAATATCACCGTGTGTACGTGCATCAAAACACAATACAAAAAGCAACTTACGCTATTGGAGATAGAGGCGAGTTTGTGTTGCAGTGTGAGCATGTACTCGTTGTAGGACTGGCTTTTGTTGGGCGTGCTGGGCTGCGAGGACCCCGTCGAGTTAACATTTGTCATATCTATGGAATAATACAAGGTTTTAAAAGCCAGTAAATGTATAAAAATAAAAACTAGCAATCTAAGATTGCTAAAAATTATACTATGTAATTACGCTTGCAATCGTTAATAATACGTTTTGCTTGATTTTAAAATAGGGGTTTTTTTATAAAGACAGCAAATGCATAAAATTAAATACTAGCTATCTAAGATTGCTAAAAATTATACTAATTATGCATGCAAATCGTAAATGATAAGGGTTACTTGATTTTAAAATAGTGGCTTATAATAAAGGCAGAAAATGTATAAAATGAAATACTGGTATCGATTCTCGCATAATTCTCTAAATCTAAACTTAAATTTGGCAATAGTGTATCCTTGTCATTCTCTATACAGTATGAAAAGGAGAGACTGATGTTAAATTTAGTTTTAAGTTTAGAGAATCACGCTGGAATCGACACCACTAGCTATCTAAGATTGCTAAAAATTATACTAATAATGCATACAAATCGTAAGTGATATGGGGTTGCTAGATTTTAAAATAGGGGCCCCCAAATTCTTTTAAATCCGGTTCAATGTTCTTCTGATTTAGCTACCTTTTTCTTAATAATACAACTATAAAGCACGGCAGCATAGCATAATGGCCGTACTTTCGCCCGGATAACGAAGGGTGCGGGTTCGAATCCCGTCTGAGCGTGGATTTTTTTCTAGCAATATTTTCTTGATTTAAACATGTAGCAGTTAAACGTTTGAATATATATCTCTATAAAGCAAATAAATAAAGCGCGTATACTGACTAGCCACTTCCATGTCGGCGGCTCGCCTGGCCAGCGCGTGGTGCACTGCGCGGTGGGCCACCAGCTGGCCCAGGTTCTGGCCCATCAAGCCGAGGTTCTGACCGCCCAGCGACAGATTCTGGCTCCCTATGAGATTCTGACTGCCTAATCCTAAGTTTTGACTTGATAGACCTGAGGATAAACATATTATTAGAATATCACATCCATTCTATAATCTAAAAGAGTTTTTTGAAATGTGACGGTCATAAAACTTTATCAATTATTTTTAAGATAGGTGGAATCTCAGATTACAGAACAAAAGTGAGATGGCGCGTACGGAACACGCAATGTCTGGCACCAATGCAAATACGAAGTCAGTAAACACTTTTTGTGTCACAAGTTTTGATGAAAACTTAATATTTACGGGACGTATTCACACCACGCTGCGATGTAGTATATTGACGCGAATTAGTATTCGCTTTTAACTTAATATTTACTATGGTGCCACGAATGACATGTTCCGTGCGCTCCATCTGCCTCTTGTTTTGAAATATGAGCTTCTACCTATATCTTAAAAGTAATTGATAAAGTTCTATGTCAGTTTATTTTATAAAATAAAATAATAACATTAATTTAAATAAAAACTGTTGAAATTTTTGTTCAACCATGTTTAAATCTCCCTATTCCATCTATAGGGAAGGACTGTCATGTCTGGTCTTGGCCCAATCTCCCTATTCCATCCATAGGGAAGGACTGTGCCCCAATAGTGGGAACATCAATAGGCCGATGATGATGAATACTATGATGACAAACTAAACCTACCTAAGTTCTGTCCCAAGTTCTGCGTCATCAGGTTCTGGTTGAAGCCGAGGTTCTGCGCTAGGCCGATGTTCTGTTGCTGCAGCCCCAAGGCAGGCGCCGTAAGCCCTATATTCTGTTGTAGCGGAGCGCCCAGCCCCAGTCCGAGACCAAACGCCGGTCCGATCTGGTTGCCGGCAAGTTGACTCACTGACGATTGTAATGCTTGCTGTTGCGCTGAGAAAGGAACGGTGGTAAGAAATGGTGCTGTTACTTTATTCACACGCTAGGAAACACTTTCCTTTTTGAATATCTATTTCAAATATTGACTATTCGCAGATAATATTGAACAAAGTCAATTTCTTCTCAACAGAGTTAGGATTAGAAATTTGTGTTAAAATTTTTGTGGGTATTGTATTATTGTTTGTAGATTATATTATTATTGGATTATATTACACTAGCGGCCACCTGCGACTTCGTCTGCGTTAACTTAGTATTTGGAGCACCCCTCCGAAACCTAACATTTTTCCAGAATAAAAAGTATCCTATGTCTCATTCCAGGTCATGAGCTTGCTATATAATAACCAAATTTCATACAAATAAATTCAGCCGCTTTTTCGTGATTGAGTAACAAACATTCGTATTTATAATATTAGTAGGTGTCAGAGATATCATGGGCGATTAAATTAGATATTAGCGTCTGGACTCCACCGTTACTTAACGTCAGGGGAAGTGAAGTCATTTGCGGAACCTATTTATAAAAAAATATGACAGATATGAGTAACGTTGGGAATATAGCTTTCATGCAAACAGGCAAGCAATAAGTCCTGGCTTTAAACTAAAGATTATCTTTTCACACTAGTACGGGAATAATAAAAAGAAAGGAAATCAGATAAACGCTTAGCAATTAACAATCTCACTCGCTCTAACAAACAATGCTTGTAATAGAGACAGGTGGTTAGATAGGAAAGGAAAGGAAGGAAAGAGGATACAGAGACGTGCGTAGCTATAAGTAATTACCACATACATAGATCAAAACAGCATGTACTCAGCGCACCAAAAACATGTCAAAAAGGTGATCAAAGGACCTCCTTTATCGCTTTTTTATGGCAATGGACCTCGATCGCAATTTTAAATTATTGTCTTTGTGTCGAATTAAGCTGTAAGGCCCAGGCCGCACTACGGTTTTTTCCCGCAAGCGATAAACCACCCGAAACATGCACACTACGATTAAAAACTGAAAACTAGACACGGTTATCGCAGTTTGTCATGGATTTCAGGAGAGCTGTATGTATTGTTGCTTTAAATATAATTATCGAAATTGATTCACGCATCTAGGAGATATGCGCCTTAAATCTAAGTCTGTGGTAATTCCCCTTTAATTTTTGTGTCTAGCATAAATTCGCCTAGCTATGTGATAGAATCTTTAGCAATATTTGAGCATAAATATATCATTACAATGAGCTTTCGAAAATTCGTGGTCGTAAAATTAATATCGTGTACTTTTAGCCTTACAACTTGAAATTGTTTAAAGTACTTATTTCATAGAGTGTCCCAACGAGTGCTGCTTTCACGAAAAATAATAGTTTTAAACATAAAAACAAAGTCATTTTATAGACTCTTAACCTAAGTTCATATGTAACGAACGAAATTTCTTTCTACACAGCATTGACATGGATATATTTATTTTATATAACTTAAAGAATGGCCATTATATCTTGACATTCTATTTGGAAGGTAACAATGCTGTTACTCAAATGAAATAAAATAAAAGAAAAATGTTAGGGTATCGCAATTATTTCCCTTTATTATGAAAATTACGTATATGAAACAAAATATCTAGTCCTAAAATTATAACTCACCAATGAAATCGTTGGCGGTTGCCAGCATCGGTTGGTAGTAGTTCTGCGGCTGATACTGCGGCGGCAGGCCTACACACGCCACACATTGTTAGTACGCAAACCTTAGGACTTGTGAGCGGGTAAACGAAACTCACAACACATTCTAATAGGTACTAATATTTTACAAAGCACTGAGTAAATTTAAAGCAAATCAAACGTTAAAACGAGCGCAGGTAAGGTAAAGACTTTTTACAATTACAATTAAAGCAATAGGCTACTTAACAGTATGAAAAATAAAGATCCAATTATTGGTAGGTACTTAACATAATTATTGGCAGTGATAATATTACCAAAATTAATAAAATAGAAAAAAAGGATTTTTTAGCGATTACGCCAAGATTTAGCGGAGCCTAGAATGCCGTCACCTGTTTGTAAACATGCTGTCGAATCGAAGTAACATTACTTTGTACTCTTTGACGTTCTACTGACAGCCTTGTGGCGTCACATGCCCGTAAGACGTTATATTGGCTAGAGAAACGTTTCCGCGGCATATAACATTTTTGTGGGGCTTTTATATTACTGTAAATACGTAACTGAATTACAAATATCCATTTCATATAGACATTACGCACTTATAAATATTGTATGAACATCTTCAAAAACTTGTGAAATAGCCTATTAAAACAATATATTTGTACAATTTTAACATGTATTATTGTCTCAGTTCTAGAATATAGGTCTAGCATGCCGTAACCATATTCATTATATAAAAAAGGGGTAAAGCTAAATGTCTAGATTCGTGATCTCTCACCAGGTTGGGCGGCTAATGCTGCGTTGTGTAGACCCATAGTACCCAAGTCAGGCTGCGGGAACTGGGGCTGGTTCAGTAATCCCAGCAGATTGGGCCCCGTCAGATTCTGTTGCTGGCTGTGACAAAAATGCTTATGTAGGAGAAGATCATCATCATTAGGCTAATTATGTTCCGACTGCTGGGGCACAGGCCTTCCCTATGGATGTAATAGGGATATTGGACCATGACTTCAACGATCATAGCCGAACTCGCTAACCACCCGCGCCATCGAGCTCCTTAATAAAATTGCTTAATTTATACAATTTGTTTGCTGACTAACCGACTTTCTTGTGACTAAGGGTAGTCTCAAGAGTCTGCAGGCTATAGCGAATGCTTGCCATCGTAGGTCATATGCAACATTTTAACACAAAAAAATACTAAAAGCTAGTATGTGTGTCGTGTAAAAGAGATACTTTAACTCGGTGGCGAGTCACGATAATCGAATGAAGGCAAAATGAAGGCGAATCTTATAGGTCACAGGGACTACAGTCCCATTAGGACTGCATAGCCCCAAAAATCTACACATCTATACATATAAATAAAATTGCAGCGTCTGTTTGTTATATTGAAATAGCTGCTTTTCACTACATCCATATGAATATATATACGGTACATACACCAAAATATTTTTTTTAAATTTTTTTTCTGTCAGTCTGCTTGTTCCGGCTAATCTCTGAAATGGCTGGACCAATTTTGACGAGACTTTTATTGGCAGGTAGCTGTTGTAATAAGGAGTAACTGAGGCTCCTTTCATTTAAAAAAAAAACTTAAAGTTAACGCGGACGTAGTTGCGGGCGGCCGCTAGTCTAAAATAATAATAGTATGTACGTTAACAAGATAAGGTAAACTGACTTGATAATATTCTGCTTGAGCAGCATCCGGTTTATGTTGTCGGCGTTGGCTAGGTGCGCAGGAGTGTGTGGCGTGGGCACCGCAGTGGGGGCTCGAGTGCCGTCCGCGCTGCCGCCCGCGGTCAAACCGCCGCCTAGCACGAGGCTAGCGCGGGACCGGACGCCTGGTAATGTATCATGCTTTATAATCAAATCTTTCTCTCAAAGCTAGAAGAGAAGACACTTACGGCTACTCAGATAAGTCTATTAATGTTTCTATTAGACTAAAGACAGTCGTTTTCTTTGCGACAACAATAGGGTTAAAGACAATTTCTTTTTGTGAATATCAGGTAAATTATCAAATAAAATTGTTTTTTTTCTTTTTATACATATAAAAAACTTTACCGAAGTAAGTCCATTTGAAATGTCACATGACCTCGCAACCTGGTAAATGTTTTACTTAGAAGTTACTCCCAAACTTTGCCACGCTATACCTTTTGAAGTTTTTGGTTGATGGACAAAAGAAAAAATAAATGTCTATTATATTTTGAAAATCTAACTGACGGACTAATTAGGATATCGTTTAATTTACCCCGTCATCATCCCTATTCAATGATTAATAAAGCATTAAATTTATGTGACGTTTCCTAGTAGAGCTGCAAGAATATTAGGTGTTAAATCTGACTACTACCAAAATTGACTCGCCTTTTGTCGACGAGTTTGTCAGAACTACGATACAATTCTTATTTCCACTAGATGAATTTAATTTTTTTACCGATGTAGGTAAGTACATTTATTTGAACATTAAAATAATTGTTTATTAACTGGTTTACAACACAGAAATCTATCACATCGATTCCCTAGAATCGACAAATACCTAAGCTTTACTCAGAAAGCCATACATCATTAGCATTGTAAGATAAAGTTATATCTTAGTTTTATTCATAGAGAATAATAGCTTTGCTAAATAAAATTTATTTAATGTTAACCCAAAAGTCATCCCTAGATAAGTTCAATGTAAAATTTAATGCCTAATTTGGAAGACACAAAAACGATTAAAAAAAATCAAATTATAACAAATGTATTAATTGTCTCTTTAATAACCGTAACTGGTGAGAATTACCACTATTCTCATATAAAATTCTTATTTACATACTTCTCGTAACAAAACATACCCAGTAATCCAGGGTCGGTAGAGATCTGCAGGGGGGTGGTGAGACTAGATAATGGGGGTAGCGGTTGTTCCGCGGGCTGGGGGAGGCAGTTCTCCTGCGGCTCCGGCCGAGGAGCTTCCGCTATCGCTTGTGATGGAGCCGCGCTTGATGCCGACGGGTATTGGTGTGTTGGCACCTCCTGTTTTAAGTGAAAAAGGCAACGAATTAGAAATAATATGGAATACGAACTGTGCTAAAAGTTGGTTCCACACGAACTGCGATCAAGTGGGCGGGGCGAAAAAATGCGATCAACAAGCTGATCATACGAATGGTTGGATGTTCCGTTTAACATTAGTACCCTATGAAAGGATAGCCGAATTAATTTGCAGATATTTGATTTGTCAAAGTATTTTGTTTTGATTGTGTGTGTCCGTTCAATATTGGAGGTCAGTGGTATGAGTTTGGAACCATGTTTAAGCGGCCTTCGTTAGGAGTAATGCTTCCATATCATATCTAATTCGTTGGAGGAAGGGTATTGATTGGATTTTACCGATAGTAAATTGCTATGAAACACAAAGGTACAAATCGAGACTTGATCCAAAGTTAAACAGCATGTTGCTAGTTCTACTAGTATTCAATCTCTTGCCTCCTATACTACTGGACCCAAAAGGAAGAGCGCATCTTCATCAGTATCTCTCTGAATAAAATTATGGTTCTTACCTATGGCACTGGTTTCATCATGTTAAAAGGATGGCGAACAGGCATATAGCCCGCCTGATGGTAAGCGGCCACCATATCCTACAAAAAGTAAAACACGCGCCATTGGCTTACCTGATCGAATCCCCTACTCCGTGGAGTCCTGAAACCTTAATCACCGACAAACATCAACAAAATGTAGTGTAATTTTACCGTGGTCTTCTGTAGGGCAGAGGTTGCTTTCACAGACGGGCGCTCCAATTCAACAGGAAATCCGATATAACCTACCTCTCTTAGTCGATATTACTTACAGACTTATATTCCGTAACAGACTCGCCTATAAATGACGCGGTGCTAAACCAACCAACAATTTACACATACACTCACACCCATATATAAGAACTTACACACACAACATACATAAAGCAAATCTTAATCTATGTTTACACAGTTTATTGTATTGGATCTATTTTGACAAATTACCTAAGTGTTTTTATAGTTTCTGAGTTAGTTGAGTTTTGTACGTGTAAAATATTGTATTTAAAATGTGACCATCACCATTGAGTTTGCGATAAGCAATAACATTGTAACATAGTTGACGACCTCCGTGGCCGAGTGGTTTGTACCAGGTTTCATAGCTGTCGCCGACTCGAGAGGTCCCGGGTTCGAATCCCGGTGGGGGCAGATGTTTGTGTGATGAATACGAGCATTTGTACTCCAGTCATGGATGTTTAATATGTATTTATATAAATATACTTATATATGTACAGTATATGTATTCTATCCGTTACCCTAGCATCCCATAACACAAGCCTTATAGTGCTTACTTTGGGGCTAGGCTAATTGGTGTGAGTGTCGGAAATATTTATTTATTCATTTATAGTTATTCTTATTTCTTCTAACTTTAAGCAACATTCTAAACTTGTTTGTGGTTCATGATATGAATAAATAATCTTTCTGTGTAAGTAAGACCGTTGTGCTCTACCTCTCTTGAAATGTGATGTTAAATTGATTGTATCTTTCACGACCCTAGGTTTATTCTTCTCCTGAAATTCAGTCTTTGCTTCCAGCCTACTATTAAGAATTATTATTATTATTATTTCCAATTCTCACCTGTGGCACTGGTGTTGGTAAGTTGGCTGCATCGTCTTGGACGACAGGTTCCTTCTTCTCCTGGTCTTCAGGCTCCTGTCCTCTGTCCACTACTGGGCTGACGAGGAACCGCGAGATCTTGCGCGTGGGCTTCTGGTTCTTCTTGTCGCTGCTCTGAGACTCCGTGCTACCAGAACGTTCGGGCGCTAAACCTGACCCGCCGTCTGATTGATTTGAACCTATACGAAATAATAATTTATACAAATTGACTTATTGAAAGCTGTTTTGAATTGTCCAATATTTTATTCAACCTCCCATTAAGGATATCTTTTAGCCAATGTGAAGAACAGGCGCAAGAAACTCATCAGCTTTTAACAGAAGTCGCAACATTTACATAAAGTCATGTCGCTACCAATTATCAATACAATGTCCAGTCACATTTTGATTGGTGTGTCATACAGTATAAACAAAAATAGTGTTGTTTATATTAGAAGTTTTTTATATGCCATATTTTATTCATTTTTCGACTTAATATTTTGCGCCTGCAATGTGTCTTTTTGTGGTACTATCTAGTAAATTGATCCTTTGCCCTACAATTCCAGTTTTTTTTTAAAACAGACGTTTTCTTCTATTTGTAGAATGCATAATGCCCTTTTAAACGATCCTGGAAAGGTTTGTTTTATTATCAACGCAGAGTAGATTATCTTTAACACAGACAGACATATAGAAAAGACGTAAGACGCAGACGGGGTGCGAATATATATCTCTTCATACAAAACATTGCGTCGCAAAAAATATAGAAATAAGAGGGCGCAGACACAGACACAAGTCTTCATTTTGTATGAAACTTACAATATCCGCGCTCTACTTAGGTCTTCCACACAAAACTGCGATGCGATACGACGTCGCATCGCAGGAACTTGCGAAGCCAATTGCTGTGATACGATTTCATGCGGCAAAGCTTTGGTTAAGGTGACTATACCTTCAACTGTAGTCAGTCGTATTGGACGAGTTTTACTAACAGTGACATGGATCGCAAACATGGCACTGCTTTTAAATAAATATAGAAGAAAAAGAAGATTCTGAATTCATTCAAATATTACGATTATGAACCCTAATGGGACCTATTTTGCTCGAAAGTGCTATGGTTTGAGAACACAAGAAGATATATTTTTAGATTATTTTAAAATGAGCCTATCTTCATTTGGAGAGCTTTTGAGTTAATTATTACAATGTCTATAAAAACGACCGTACAAGGGAAGTCTCAGAGCGGACTAAAATGGCGTCACCAAGTGTGACGTAATATCACAGGAATGCGTGATGCTAATCAGATGCGAAGTTCTAACGGTGCATTCGTGCGAGCTCGCAGATATTTGCGTTGCGATGCGAATTCGCATTTGAGGAGCTGGCGAACAAAACGGTATAATTACATCAAATTAAATTTTACAGGAGCAGTAAGAAACCGAATGACATACCTGCAGTGAGCTTTTGGTGTGATATTTAATTTAATAATTTGAACACTAATTTAGGCGGTTTTTATTGACATGAGTTGAAATTCAAATTCAGCTGGCCCAAAACCTCCGGGCTGTAAAAATAAAGTATTATATGGTAAAAAACATATGCGTAATGAGGGCTATCGCGTATGAATTTAGCCGCTAGAGGCGCTAGTGTAGCGTGAGGTCTCCGAACTGTAAAATGTTATTGCTTGTGGGTTGACTACGCGGGTTTATTTCTAATTAAAATAATGTGAATATTTGGTAATAACTCGGCATAATTATGGCAAATATGAGTTACGTGGCAACGAATGTCAGCTATTTAAAAGCGGAGCTAAGAAAAAATAGTATGTACTCCTTTTTTCCGAACAAAACGGAACTGCGCATCACTGTGGCATGGCCGATTATGTTTTGGATACGGTTCTTTTGTATTAAAATATAAGTTTCAATTCTGGACCTCACTCAACAGTGGCGCCATCTGGTGAGACAGAAAACGGTAGCCCTCATTATACCGTTTTGTTCGCCAGCTCCTCGTTTATGTGTGGGATCATTTACCTATAGACGACGCGGTGCTGATCTTCCTAGGTAAGGCGGGGGCTGACGGCACGACCCTAGGAGCTGAAGCGGGCGCTTGAGCGGTCGCTTGAGCGGGAGCGGGAGCCGTTGCGGGTTCTGGAGCATCGTAAGCCAACTCCGCGGCGATGTTATCGTGACTGGCGGTCGGCGTCGTACATTCAGAGTTGTCCTGGTTTGAATCGGTCAGGTTCTCCTCGCGTTCCGTCGTTTCGGAGTCGTAGTCAGTCTGGTAAAGATTATTGGTAAGTGAGTGACACTGTTGTGTGTGGAACTGATTCTTATTATTATAAATTTAATTATCTTTATTTTCATTTTGGAAACATACAGTTTTACACAAATCAATCAATTGACACTTATTACTATTATACAATAAACCAGTTAAGTTTCCACTGTCTGAAATATTTATACACTTGCATTATGTAAATGAATTAAGTACAATTTAGTTAAGTGAATACAGCAAAAAATATGATAAGTAGTAAAATAATCAAATTAGTGAATATTAGGGTAAACCTTAATATAAATATAATTTAATATTATTGTAGCATTCATATCTGAATTGATTGTAAGAGAACATATTCAATAATCTACTAAAGTATTTATCATAGCATACATGCTCTTGATATAAAAGTATTTTCAGCAAACTTAGTTCTGCTGAATGGTGTTAAAATTGAACCAAAAATAAGATTGGGCTGCTGGTTTCAAATAGTATTGTCTGTAGAATTACAAATGTAAGAAAATGCCAGGTAAATAACTTTTGCAAACAGGTAACTTGGTAACGAAACTAAAATAAACATATTGCTTAATCTGAATATAATAAAATCAAGTAAGTCATTACTGCAACCACGTGACTTTTACAACCTGTTTTTAAAATTATTAACGGGGTATACGCGGCCTGTTGTAAAATTATGCCCTGTTATTAAAAGAAGTAGTATTATTATCTAAAAACACAATTTTTCTAGAAGAAATTCCACGCGGCCAGCCAGGCCTCCGGCATCCGGGCTGATGCACTGACCAATTATGCCACCGCGACCTTAATAGCCTTGTCGAATTTCTTTCAGTATTTTCAGTTTCTTAGGCTGCCAGGCAGCGCCATCTCTTAGAACTGTAGGTAATCCACAATGGGCTCGAGTTCCGATTGCTTCCTAGACCGCGTGGATTTTTTTCTAGTAAAATTTTCCTTAGATTGGAATATCTAATAGTTAAGTGGTTAAAAAATATAATAAATTATTATTGTTTCTTGATATTACCTTGTCCAGGTTGAGAGGCAGCGAGGTATGGGGCACGTTGACGACTGGTGTCACGCCAGGATTGGCGAGAACCTGCCCCACTATGTCCCTAATTAGTTCGGTGAATGCGGCACTCTGCCATTCGGGTAACAGGTTGTTTGATACCTGGTGGGAACGCATGAGGAACGATTATTTATTTGTCTATTTACATTAAAACTAAGCCTAAATTACATTATTCTCATGAAAAGTGACTGCAAGAGACACTTGCAGTACAGCTCCGCACGCATTAGTTAGAGCGACCACAATTTATTTAATGATTAACATCGAACCACGATAACTTTGCAGAGTCAATAATCTCGCCACACCAGAAAAACTTGTACTGGCAGCCATTTTAAGACGTCATTCAAAAATGGCATAAATGTCATGTCATGCAAGAATCTTTAGTTTGAAGAACATTTACTGGATTTTTTTGTTTGTGGAGTTAAGAAAAAAGAGAAATTTGGAGTCGGAGAAGGTATTTATTAAATAATAAATCATAATAAATCTGCAAAAGAACAAATGGAGTCGGTTCTTATGGAAAAGAGCAATGTTATGAAGATACCTAACCTCAACGAGTTGCAATAATTTTTTTGATATTAGTTTGTTTTTGTATTGCAATTTTTTATTTACATTTCAACAGTTACATTCTATATATACCTATATATCTAGAATTTAGTTTCACACGTTTTAGTTTGGTAAAGTTAGATAATAAAATGTTGTTTTAATTGTGGATGAACATTAGTTTCGTAGCATTTTATTTTCAGTTATCTTTACCATGCCGGCCTGAACCAAATCCACTGTAATTACACTGTTTTCTGTAAGGTTAATTCCCCAGACGGGCACTTCAATTCGCACTTAATATACGGTATATCTTAAAGGTACTACCACAAGGATGTTAGGAACTGCTTGTGACATTCAGTAACATTTAGAAATCGAAACTAACATCTGGTCATCATCATCTACCTATTACGAACATTTCAGATTATACTTTAACTAATATAATAGAATAACTGAGAGAAGTTTTACCAATATATAAAAATTAATATACCTAAAATAAAAATGCAAAAGGAAGCTCCGAAAAACACAAAGAGACCCTCACCAAATTGCTTGCAATCTCTTCAGGGTTGACATCAGTGATGTCGAATTTGAAGGTGACCGTTTTAGACTTGGAGTCGAGCTGGCATTCCACCACGTTTTCAGTCTCATTCACTTCTAGGACTGTGAGTTTGGGCAGTTTATCCTTCTCCCGGGACCGCTTCTTGGAGCCCCGGGACTTTTTCTCCCCAGAAATAGGGGACGGTATCGCCGTGCCAGCTGTAAGAAACGAATGCTGAAATGTAGTAGATCGTTTATTGAAATATAACATTTATTTATAATCATCAGAATTGTAGAGAAGGTTCGTTCTATGACAATGGTATTCGAAATTAGATGAAAATCTGATGTGTAAACGACTCAGATTTTTATTAAATTTTGAAAGTAAAACAACAATCATAATCGGTCTACAACAATCAGAGGTATGGGTTAACAAAAATGTAAATAAAGAATACAGCCGAATTGAGAACGAAAGAGGATTGAGAAAATAGTTGATAAAATTAAACTAAAAGATCAACATCTTTGCTTTAACAAAATGCTACAAAATATTATTATCTACACAGTGATGTCGATTCTGGCATGATTCTCTAAACCTATAATTAAATTTGACAACAGTGTATCCCTGACATTATGAAACAGGGTGAAAAGGAGAGACTGATGTTAAACTTAGATTTAAGTTTAGAGAATTATGTCAGAATCGACACCAACAAATATATAAAAAATATTGGTTTCTACGTATCAACTAACCTTCTTGGGTTTCAGCTTGCTTCTCCTCCACAGAGCTCAACTCCGGTTGTTTTATCGCCTCCGTATGCGTCGCGCCAGACGGAAACTCACTCATCGGCGTATGGAACTGTTCCTTGTGGCCGTTAGACGAATAACCGTTCTCTAAATGTTCCTGACTCAAGTTCAACTGCTGCGGAACAGAATCTGACATTTGCGTTTGTGCTTGTACGTTCTGAGACACAATTTGAGCCGGTACTGTCGAAATTGGTTGGGAAATAGTCTGAATTGGTTGAGTAGTTGGTAATGGTTGTGAAACAGGTTGTTGCACAGTCGATACGGGCTGAGCCATCGACTGGACTGGTTGGGCGACAGATTGGATAGCTTGTGGTATAGGAGTGACCGGTTGAGCGGATGGCATTTGGACTTCTTGCGGCATCGACTGAGACACGTTTTGCGGAGCCGTCGAAGCTATAGCCGTCTCCATTTGGTATTGAACGTTCTGCATGATAGGCTGCATAGGTTGGCTCTGAGCTTGTTGGTACATTTGCAGGGGGTTGGCGGTGAAATTCTGCACCGGGGTGCCTTCATGACTAGAAATCTGCCGCTCATTTTGCTGCACAACGCCAAAGTTCTGAGCCACCATATTATGGGGGAGAGACTGTCCTTGCATCGCATGCATTGGAGGATGGTATGTATGTTCCTCCGATTGGACAGACTGCTGTTTATGAATTTGGTTTTGCAATTGGTTTTGGTACTGCATCTGGTCTATAGACATCTGTTGTTGCAGCGGTAGTTTTTGCTGGTAATCAGGCAACTGTTGGTCATGCACGTCCACGGAACTGACTTGACTCTGTTCAGAACCCTGGCGCGTATACATAGGTCTTTGAGACCGCAATATCTCATCGACTTTTTGTTGATGCTGCCCCATAAGTTGCTGTTTCTGCGCGAATAAAGCGAAATTCTGCTGATCGATAAAGTTCTGCTGGGACTGCAGCTGCAACTCCTGCTGAGCCAGATATTGCTGCTGCTGGAGATTCCTTATGTGCTGAGGGGATAAAGTCTGCCCTGGCATTTGCATGTGTTGTTGATTCAGTATCTGCTGTTGAAGAACTAACTGTTGCTGGGTGAGCATTTGTTTCTGGAGGTTGAGTTGTTGCTGAGCTTGCGATAATTGCTGCTGCGCTTGTGCCATTTGTTGTTGCTGAGCTAAAAATGTGGGATCTAGAATAGGCGGTACGAATTGCTGCGTTTGCTGGAAGTTAAGATTCTGCTGTTGGAATTGGGCGCCTATTAGGTTCTGCATTCTTTGCTTCATCTCTTCTTGCTGCTGCTGGTCTATGTTCTCTTGCTGGTTCATCATTTGCATGGGCTGTTGCTGGGATTGCTGAGCTTCAGATTCAGACTCCTTTCTTGGTTGCAAATTGTCCGGCCTGTGAATGATCTGCGTGAGAATGGTCTGAAGATTCTGTAAAGACGGGTCCAGTACTTGATTCGAGACGAGATTCTGGGGTGCGGCAATCATGTTCTCTTGGTTTAAATGGTCTTCCAACTGCTTCTGCTGTATCGCGGCCGCTTGTTGGGCGATAATGTTCTGTTGTTGCTGGATGATTTGCTGTTGTAACACATGGTTCTGGTTGTTGATTTCGGCTGATAGTTCTTGGTTTAGAAGCGTCGGTTGGAGTTGGGACTGCGATGGGTTTACTTCTAGATAGTTCTGCTGGACTTGCTGCTCCATCATCTGGCCCTGGACGCTGTGCTTGTACATCTGATGGTTCAGAAGGTTCTGCTCCATCATTACCTGTCGACAATCATGACAATGGTATATCTGCAAACATTCAATTTGTGTCTACGATTAAGTAATAAACCCCCTTATTCCAAAACGGACTAAAGGTTAGTCTTGATTTAAACCTCATGTTATTTCTGTCTTTTTTTAGTAAACTAAAGTGTATTTTTTTTGTAATAAAGCGAAAATTGTTTTTTTTTGTTTTAAAGATTTATTGAATTATTTGCAAATATAGACATTTCAGTAATATTTATCTACGTTACAGTAATAAAACACGAAGTTCGTATGTATAACTTAATAATACACATCACACAATGAAAAACAAGAATTTGCATTTTCAAATATATCGTCATAATCATAATTAATAAGTAAATATTTATGTCTTATCTCGTGGTTACAAATTGAAATCAAAGGAAAAAGTTTGCGCTCCTGATAATGATGTTTATTTTTCTAAGCGAGTTATCACCTGATGCTGCATAGTGTGGTCTAACAGGTGCTGATCATGCATGAGGTTGTGCTGCAGCAGTTTGCGGGTCGCCTCCTCCTTGTTGAGCTGGAATTGGTGCTGCAGCAGCTGCTGTTGCGCTTGCAGCAGTTGAGACTGCTGGTCCAACCTGGACGAGTGAGACAAAGGTAACTATTTGTGTAAAAACGATGGCATACCAGCGCATGGTCTTCCTATAGACATACAGAATAGACTGCCTATTCGCTAACCAAGTGTCAAATAAAAGTGTACTTGAAGCGATAGGAAGGCTCATATCTCGTCTTTGTGGGTTTGGCGTTTGGAGTCCACTTTTGACATGGCTGCCTCTGCATACGGCAATTTCGGGTTTTGACCACCTCTGCTTAAGACTACCTCGCAATATGAAGTTTTTGGATTCAACCATTTTGGTTTTCGTCTTCTCTTAATACCGTCTGCAAAAGGATAACCAAATGTCATATGTTGAAAACATATACATATAACATATAAGCTCGATATATATAAGAAATTTATTTATTTAATTTTGTAATTAGTTTCTTTTGTTCTTATGTTAAGATAAAATAACGGTCCATAAAACAACTAGGCTCAACAAGAAGTGGTCGAATCCAAAACAGGTCTTAACTAGAAAACGACCAATGAGGAACTGGTTCTTGAACGTCAAATTTGTCTCTGTATTTGTTAGTTTTGTTTCATTTTTTAGAGAGTTTTCAATTTCATATGAGTGTTGCTCAGTTCATTTTCTATGTCAGCGACCATAATAGGCGAGTGCTACTTTTGTTTTAGTGAATTTCCGTCAGTGTTTAATTGGGGTTCTAAACATTGTGGTTAACAATTCAAAACAGTTGTCTAACAGGAGACATTCGGTCTAATATTGTAAAGTATAACCACTTTTGTGAATGACACAAGGTACTACCACTAAAAGTTCTGACCACGTCACTGTCAGTAGTAAAAATCTATTATTTAACATTTGTTTTCATAAGTCCTGCTATATTCTCAGGTATGAGTTGTGCACTAATAATATAATGAATTAGTTAATCTTATTTAAGAAGTTGAAACGGAAATAACAATACTTGTAGTATACATACTGAACTGCTGAGAGAGTTGGCTGTGGTCCAACGCCGTTTAGCAGGCCAGCCTTCACCTGCTCGCCAGGACCCGCCTGCTGTTGGTTCTGCATCATCTTTACCTAAAGCAAATCGTACCCATTTTATACTCTTCGTGAACGTCTTCCTGTTTGTTTTTGTTATTGCTTACACGCTTAAAAAGTCAAACCGTTTTATATATACATTTTTTTTGTAGAAATATATAAAGGGGAATGGAAAATTTATCGGGCGATATTTTGCCGCAAAAATCTAATGCTATAGGTATGCGACCATGGAAGATAAGATTTCACATAAGATTGATGACCTTAAATATATTCTCCAGATTCACCGTGTTTATTTCAAAATTGAAGTTTCTTAAAAACTTTTCATCCTCCATTTTAACCCCCAAGGGGTAAACTTCGGTGTGTCACATTTCAGCGTAATCAGTCAAATAAATGATTCAGTCAGTAATCTGTTTTCTTCGTGTTGGCCGTCGATGTCCGTTACAAAATAATGTCACAGGCCAATCACAGGCACATCAACTGGTACCGGCGACCAATAGGGTCAACTAATAGGGTGCGCGGGGCGGTGAGGCGGGGAGGGTGGGAGGGCCAACTCGAAGCGAACGCATTAGACCTGTTAGCTGCAAAGGTCATACAGAAAAGAATCTAGTGTCAAAACTCAAGTAAAAAGTTTTATTTTAAATCTGACCTGCATTAGTTGTTGTTCTAATAGGAGATTCTGTTCGTTGATGATATCTTGGTTGAATAGCATCTGCGCCTTCTTCTCACTCCTCTCCCTGGTCGAAATAAACATAAAATACATCAAAATATAGTCAACATAAATTCATAATATTACATGTGTGAACATAATACACCTGTAAGGATAAAAGGGATGGAATGATTACCACAAATAGTTTTTTTGTTTTGTTTTGGATAAATCCATGATCAACGTGGCATATATGAAGATACTAGCAGCCGCCTGTGACTTCATCCCCGGTAACTTTAGTTTTTTGAGAATGTGGGATTCTAAAATTTTTTCGGGATAAAAATTATCCTAAGTTCCAAATCCAAGTGTGATAGAGTAACAAACATACAAATTTTCACATTTATAATATTAGTAGGAAGTAGAGGTGACTGTAATACAAATAGAGAACATTGAATCCGTGATTGAAAACAACTTTAGGAATAAAACAACTGAACATCGCGCGACGCTTTTTACACTAGTAAGCCTTTTCGCTAAATGCTTTTTATAGATGGAAGTGATAATCACCGTGCGATTTAGTGATCCACTACTGCTTTATTACAACGCCACTAAGATACTTGTTCTCAAAAGCATCGATATGAAATTTTCTCTTTAGTTGCACACTGTGAGTGTCAAAAAGTTAGGGAATAGACCGGCTGAGCGACAGTGCTTATTGTACAAGAGACACATGTGGGGTCCTGCGTTGAATATTGTTCGCACTTCAGGGATGGCTCCGCCAAGTATTACCTCGATGTTATGTATAGGTTACAGCTGCGCGCGATTTGCATCTTTGGAGATGAGGAGGTGAACAACAAGCCTGTACAATAACGTCGTGATGTGGTGGCGGTATTAAGCACATTCTTACGTTTATACCACGGCGAGTGTTCTGAGGAGTTATTCTCCCTCATCCTACCTTCTGCTTTCCTTCAGGGGACCCTCGTACTAGCCTACGTTGCCACCAATAAATTAGAGTATCTATTAGTGATGTAACGATTATCCGCATCCGCATTCGCATTCGCGAATATTCGCATATTTTTGAATATTCGCATTCACATTCGCATTCGCAAAATCTCTGCGAATGTTTTGCGAATATGAATATAAAAAAAAACAATTTGAAGAAGTTGTAGTTCTTCCTTTCCTTGAATATTCATTGTTACACAGCTTGCATTTAGCTCGTTCAGCATCGCAAAGTGTGAAATAAGTCCATATTTCACTAGAATTTGATTTACTCATGTTAATTAATCACTATTCAAACTCTAACCTCAAAATTCATTTGTTTTGTTTACGAAAAGACCGGCGCGAGCGGAATGACACTTCAGTCGGATGAGTTCATATCAACTCGGCAAATCGAACGAGACTGCCACCATGCCATAGACAATTGGCGCCAATTTTGAACAAAAACATATATATTCGCATTAGCGAATGTCGGTACCAGATATTCGCATCCGCATTCGCGAATGTTCAAACAATTACATTCGTTACATCACTAGTATCTATGTATAAATAAATGGTTGGTAGCTTATAATAATTATTTTGATATTTTTATTCGATGAAAGTCGACTTTATGAATGAAATAATGTGAAAATCCATACTTTTGCATTAGTCAATTTCACTCTTGTGAAGTCACACGAACGACTAAGTAGAGAAAATAATAAAGTTTTACACAATGACGTTATTTTTTTGTTTCTACCGCTAAGATAATTCATAACTGATAAATTTACAGAATGATATAACTGTGACCTTTGTCAAGCAAACAAAACACGCAATGCAAATTTTGTAAGTCTCGCGTGATAAGTTTCGCGACATGAAACTTTCAGTACCATTATGAGTTACCTCTTTTAAAGTATATTACTGTCTACATGAATCATGAATTTTTAAAAGCACCAGTTATTTGTTATTTTAACTACATAAAATAAAAATATAATCAATACGACTTTTAACATTTATTAGTTCCGTTTCCAATTTCCTAATTGAAAACGTCGACAAGTTTTTTAGACTTCATTTACTATTGAAATTAAAAATCATAATTTATTTATACCATCACAATTTCTATTTTAAGAACCAAAAATTAAACTCGCGTTATATAACGGCTCTGAAAATGCTTACACGCATAGACAACAACGCTCACCGTAAATATATATTTTAATGTCAGTCAAAACTATGTGTGTAGGCAAAAATAAACACTTAAATAAGAAATTTATCAATACAATTTGCCGCCAATCTTGTGTCAAGTTGAACGAAATGTCAAAGTTCACGAATGATTAACTTCTAAATTCACTCTTACTACGTTGGAGATAAGTTAATTAACTACCTAACCGTTATTCACTTACAGCGTGCATATGTTATCACAGCGACCGCAAGCGAGCGACCTTCTACAAGAGAAATCCTCTCGGATATCACTAAGGTATACAAGCTACGAGAAACACGCGAGGTCGGTACACTGGCGAGTCACAGTCAAGATATTACAGGCTTATTTACTTCGCTACGGTCACCATGGCAACCGAGAATTCCGCCAAACGTGCACAGAAATGTCAGATTTGTTTGTGAATATCCGTATTGTTATGTAAGCGACGCACTATGTTGCAAACAGTTCCCAACAAACATTTTGTTTCACTATCACAATACTGTTTATTTAACACAACACTTCGATTGGGACGTTGAACTTCTAATGTGAACGTCAACCGTTTCTCTTAGTTAATTGACAAACGAAAAAAAAAACCGGTTAAATTCCGACAGACTAACTTCACCACTAAATTTAAAATTATAAAAATGACACTTATAACGTATTTTCGCTTAACCGCAACTGATAAAAAATACTGTGAAGCGACCGATTTACACATACCTATAAGATATCAACAGGCAAATTAATGAAATATTTACTACATCCGATTCAAAAACTAGAACAACAGACGTGCGTTGAACTATTTCGTTGTGTACAGTTTGAACCAACTGAACACCTAATGTGGTGTCGTCATCCTCAATAAACGTGGCCGCTCAAGCATCAAAATGTATATTCCAATTATTGCACTGATAAGAGGAAGGTTACCAATTATAATACTCAATTATATCGCCCGTAGTACAACGTGACGTCTGCTTCGTATCTATGTTACTACTATACTTAGCTCTAACGGCCGCTTTTAACAAATGTTAAGTTTAAAATAGAATAGAAAATACATCCTTTAAACATGCAATTAATTTAATTGACGTCCTTGCACTCAGGTGTCATGAGTAAAGTAATAAAAAGAATAGAAACACCAGTCAACTGCTTGATACAGATAAATCTTTTCTTTTCTAGAAATAAATAAATATAAATATTTATTTATTGAAAAGGGTGGCAAACAAACATTTTTCCCGCCTCAAGGAAAGCATAGCACAGACGTTTGCGAAACCAAAGCTCGCGTCATTGCCTGCGTGAGCCTTACCTAGTGGAGCCCTTACTAATTTGACATAAACATAGTACCACCGTAAGGAAGTGTTATCTATTACAATCTGATATTCTGTTAGGTGAAGGTCACTTACCCAGACGGTCGCACCAATTCGAGCGGAAAACATATGACTCTATCTTTTGAATATTATAAAAGTAAAGTATTTATAGATATGCTACTCAAGCACGCAAAAACGGCTGATCGGTTTGGCACACAGTAATTTGTTTACTTCATTGCGACAGGATACTATTTATGACGGAAAATTTTTAGGGTTCACGTGGGTTTCAATGAAAACTAAGATCGTTTACATATAAGGACGCAGCGGTAGCGGCACGCTCCACGGAGCCGCACAATAGTTTTAAATTGATCCACAGTCAATATTTTAGTGATTCGATACCATTACCTTGACTTTGGTAAGTTTTTTGCATGAATGCTTCGTTATTTCCATTAAATGATATAGCTTTAAGTTAGATGTTAGCATACAGAAAGGCTTTTTCCTATATATTCCTGTATGAATTACTGTGTTACGTTGACTGAGCGACCGGCGCGTTGCGTGATGAGCGCACATCAAGTAATGAAATATGTTCGATTTACATAGCGAATATTTTCGGAACGGTAGAGTAATACTATGATAAATAAGTATTAAGCTAAAATACATAGCTTTATAGCATAAATGAAAAGTACAGTCAGCAACATTCCAAGTTATCATAAATGACAAGTATTTCTTGATTAAGAATCTTGTAGTAAGTAAGATAAAACTTAGTCAGTTAAAGTAATTTGTCAGTTTTGGATTAGTTGATCTGTGCAACTCTAACTCTAACAAAGATCGCGCAAACATGATTCCAAACTATACAACTGAACTTCAATAATAAAGCGACACGCACACAGACAAAACAAAATACTTTGGCAAAAAAAATATTTGTAAATGATTTCGGCAATATACTTATTGGGCAAGATAATCTTAAACGGAAATCCCAACCATTCGCATGATAAGCGTGTTGATCGCAGTTCTCGTGAAACCACTTTTTAATGCAGTTCGTATTCCATATTATTTCTAATTCGTTGGATCAGTGGTTGTTCTGTATATATCAAAAATCATCAAATGAATCATTTATTCAGTTTAGGCTGTTACAAGCACTTGTGAATATCAAGAAGCTACGCTACTTTTATAAAAAAGATAAATCACATCATCAACTCCTCAATGATGCCACATTAGGCATACTTTTTTTATTCGGGAATTGTCGGTCCAAGTTTCATTTCAGACGTTGGACATTCGACCTAAAGTAGAAAATACAAGTCAAGAGCGTTAAAAGGCCTATCTTTCTTTATCGAGTTAATTATATATTCTTAATTTATTCATGCATGGAATAATATCCAACAAAGATATATCCACCTTCGGTATTTCCTTTGTACTTGTGGCCGTATAAGGAATTCTCAATAATATGAATGATGCATTTGTTAATTTAGTACACATGCGTCATTTTAAAATTACAATTTCAAGGTTGCGCGATGCATACATACAACTTATCTGTTTCGTTAATTTAGATTGATTGATTAGATTAAAATCATTCAGTTTTGTGTCTTTCATGATTCTAGATTTTAAAAGGTAGTTTCATTATATTTACATTATATATCAGGTGTAACTTTAGAAATTAATTAGTATCTACATATTTTATTGTTATAATTAAACAAATTAAACATTTACATTGCATGAAAATAATTTTGAAAATTGGATATTTAAGATTGTAATAAATTTATTAATTTATAGTGATTCCATAAAAAGTGGATGCTTATAATTCTAAAGCGAATATCAGTAAAAAAACCTAAAAAAAAACTGTTTTAAAATATGCTGCGGAAACTTTTCTTCAGCAAATACGACGTGTTGACACGGAGGTGACGTCACACAGCTCTCATTAACTTCAAAGAGTTACAAAGAATTGTCACTTCATCAGCAGGTTTACAAGCAGTGGCATTATTTTAGGCTCTGAAAATCCTAGGGGTTTTCGGTCAAGTGACAATATATATAAAAGGTCTTTCCTATTTCATGATTTTTAGGGTTCTGTACCCAAAGGGTTAAAATGGAACCCTATTTCTGTCACTCTGTCTGGCCGTATGTTAACGAAATAAGTAACAGAACGAAAATTTTGGTATTTTATGTAAAATGCTTGCCCAAAGCCGAATATTTAGTTAAATATTCAATGAAGTTATTTATATTCTCTCTTATTTCTCTTTTTTTTCTGTGTTACTTTTTTATGTATGTGAAACGTAAAAAAAGAGACGAAAGATATTTTTTGTTTTTTTAACCCAGCATGTGACACATTATTGTTTTGAGCTCATTGAGTACGACAACTATAATTTTTATAATCTTTAATACAAAGAAATCGGTCGTTAAAGTTGTAATTTTTAGACCATTTTTGTTAGGGGGGTCTTTATCAAAACCGAAACTAATTAGGAATGTGAAATTTAGGTATTTGATTGATGTCCCATAATTATGCTGTATTTAAACAACACGTACTGAAAACACTGTGCTTTGTAAGTTTTTACGAAAACAAATAATAATATTTCCTTTCGCGGTTTGTTTTACGGAACCCTTCGATCGCGAGACCCACTTGCACTAGGCCGGTTTTTAATAATACTATCAAAACTACTTTTTTTGTCAGAATAGTCAAATCGCTCGCAATATTCATAATCAGTACACATGCTAACAACTGGTACTTTATTTTTCATACGGTCTTTGCCTCGCGCCTTCAAGTTGGTTATAAGATACTAACCAATTATGTATTAACTTTTACGGTCATAAAGTTTTTTTTTATATCTAGTTGTGGACTGCTCATTCACACGACAGTGGTGTGTACGCGTTGTAATTCAGGGATTTCATGCATATGACAATGACCTGTACGTAATGTAGTTAAGAATCAGATTCATTAGTCATCGATTGAGAATGATGATGGCGACTTATAAAATAGGTCATCAAATCGACGTAAATCTTCCAGGTATCTATACAGAAGAAAATGGTCTGTGTGTATTGTTATTATGTGCTAAATTTCATTGCACTTACCGATTAAGGCAGATGAGTTGTGACTTGAGCATTTTTAAAACTATAAGAGCGTCTTTCTCCATAACGAGTCAAATGGCCGTCTTTTAAATATTTTTATGCAAAACAAAATAGGCTGTGTATAAATCTAAAGAAAATATAACTAGAAAAAATTCCACGCGGACCAGGCAGCAGACGGGACTCGAACCCGCACCCTTCGCAATCCGGGCGAATGCACTGACCAATTATGCTACCGCGGCCCTCACGGACCGCGTCGAAATTCTTTCCAGCTATTCTTAAGCTGCAGGGCAGCGCCATCTCTTCGCATTATAGGTAAACCCACAATGTCAAATGATTACTTTTACAAGTATTAAACATTTGAAAGAAGAAATAGCAATTATAGTTATAATTTTTATTATTTTTAAAGCATGTAACTGCTTGATGTTTAAATCTAAAGAAAATATAACTAGAAAAAATTCCACGCGGACCAGGCAGCAGACGGGACTCGAACCGGCACCCTTCGCAATCCGGGCGAATGCACTGACCAATTATATATATAATGCGAAGAGATGGCGCTGCCCTGCAGCTTAAGAATAGCTGGAAAGAATTTCGACGCGGTCCGTGAGGGCCGCGGTAGCATAATTGGTCAGTGCATTCGCCCGGATTGCGAAGGGTGCGGGTTCGAGTCCCGTCTGCTGCCTGGTCCGCGTGGAATTTTTTCTAGTTATATTTTCTTTAGATTTAAACATCAAGCAGTTACATGCTTTAAAAATAATAAAAATTATAGGCTGTGTATTCTAATTAAGTGCTTAATTTCATTGAAAAAATCTAAGAATTTTCAAAGAAATTAAAAAGAAAATTATCTTTGATTTATTTGCACTTAATGATTAAGGCTTGAGATTGACTTGAGCAGTTCGAAGACTCTATCCGCGTGTCTTTCTTCATACTAAGGCAAACAGCTGTATCTTTTTATTAAATGCATCTTTGAAAAAGAAAATATTCTGTGTGTATTGTAATTAGGTGCTAAATTTCATTGCACTTACCGATTAAGGCTGATGAGTTGTGACTTGAGCAGTTTAAAGACTATCCGCGCGTCTTTATCAATAATAAGGCAAATGGCCGTTTCTTTGAAATGTTTCTATGCAAAACAAAACAGGCTGTGTGTATTGTAGTTAAGTGCTAAATTTCATTGCACTTACCGATTAAGGCTGATGAGTTGTGACTTGAGCAGTTTGAAGACTATCCGCGCATCTTCCTCCATTATGAGGCCGGCTTTAGCCATGTCGTTGGCTACTTCTTCACAGTCATCATGTTCGATGTCGAATTCAAATTGTATCGCCTCATTCTCTTTGTGGGTGTACGACCTGAGCAACAAGAAAAAAATCAATTTGACGGTCAGAAACTACATTACGAAATTTCCATAGATTGCGGAGTTTGAGCACCTTTTGAAAGGAACTTTTCGTGCTTCAGGGTGTTAAGTTGTTAGTTAGCTTCGTCTGTATATTTCCCTGCAACCTAGTCACAGGAAAAGATATTTATTATATTATTTTGATAGTGATCAGTTTATTTTAATCTTTAGGTATGGTTCCTCAATCTTCTTTTGAATTCTATTTAAAACATATTTATCATCATCATCATCAGCCTATTAATAACCCGACTGCTGGGGCACAGGCCTTCCCTATGAATGGAATAGGGAGATTAGACCATAACCCACCACGCGGTCTCAGTGCGGATTGGCTGGTGCTACGACTGTAGGTGCAGCCGGGACCAACGGTTTAAAGTGCTTTCCGAAGCACGGAAGAACTCGAGATAGAAGACCCATTTTGGTCACCCATCCAATGACCGACCACTGCGAAAGTTTCTAAACTTCAACGATCGCAGCCGAATGCGCTAACCATATTGAAATATTTTAATTTATCAGTAGTTTGTGGTCTTAGGTATTGTCCTTTCATTATTTTATATTCCAATTTCAAACATTTAAACGACAATACCACGTGTTTACATTAGACATTCTAAGAACATCAGACATTGATTGACTCAGCAACGAAAGTCCATTAATTTTTACAAGGAAAGTTAAACTCTTACCTTTTCTTTGGGTCGATGATTTTTAGGCGGAACTGTATTTTGGTGATATCAGAACTTGTAACGAGGTCCCGCCCCACTATTTCCAGTCGCAAACCGATGTCTTCGCCGAAAAACTCGTGGTTCAAAAGATCTTTCACCATCGGCCTGTCAAAGTATGAAAATTAGCGCTTATTGTAAAACTGATTATAGGACGACAAGGATCTTTATGAATGTGGCGAAAATTGGAACTAACGCCGCCGTCTTTGTAAACGTCATGTGTTGTATGTCATTTACCTAGACAGTGGCGCCCTCCTTGAACTGTCACTCACATTCATAAAGATCCTTATCGCACTGTACATATAATTTAAGGCTACCCGCCTAAATTATATGTACAGTGCGAGGAAGATTTGTTCCTTCGAGCAGGATACGATATAAAAAAAGATTTTATAAAATGTATGGTCCGATTAATAATAGTGTGCTGTTCACAAACCTTTCCCCTTTATTTGGCTTGATGCAGGACTCGATGATATCCCGAACTTCAGGTATAGTGACCTTTTCTAAGCTCTGCGGTTTCACGCCCTACAACAATGAAAATGTAATGTAGCACAACTATTATAGCAAACCCAATATAGTTGATACAAAAATGAAAGGACTTTTCTAGAGATACTGTAAGTCAAAAAAATAGATTTCAGGTTCCATCATTCCCAAACAAAATCACACACAGCGTTGCAGCAAGGCTCGTGCTGATGAGTGAAGACGTCTATGAATTTGAAAAGCTGTCAACACAACAAACATGGATGGTGTCGCCGCTGGTGAGTTAGAAGAGCAAACTGTAAGTAAAACCCTTTATTCGCTGTAAAAGTTACCATAGATTACACCAAGTTATAAGGCTGTTTCTTCACTTAACGCTGTGTGTTTTATTCGACATAATAATATCTGTTTTGCTGTAATGCAAAACCGTTCTTTTTGATTAATCAGAATTACATTTTTAATTTCTTAACGTCACTCGTTACCTGCAGTTTTACTCATAAATTCAATTTCTATTAAAATTATTGGTAAATACATAATTACATACAGTATCGATATTTTCAATACGTAATCAATTACAAACGTATTTGTTATCAGGAAATTCTTACGCTTAAACACAAAAACGACAGAATCTCACACATTCAGATCTGTTACCCAACGAATTAGAAATTATATGGAATACGAGCTGCGCTAAAAAGTGGTTCCACGTAAACTGCGATCAGACGGCGGGGCGAAAAAAAAAGGCAATAAACACGCCAATCATGGGATTGGTTGTGATTTCCATTTACCTTACCCAATTAATGAATAGCCGAATTAATTTGCATATATTTAATAGGGATGATGACGGGGTACAGAAACGAAATTCTATTTAGCCCGTCAGTTAGATGATCAAAAAATATTGGACACGTATTTTTTCTTTGGGCAATCAACCAAAAAATGAAAAAGTTATAGCGCGTCAAAGTTTGGGAGTAGGGGCTCGTGACGTCACTTTTGAGTGAATTTTCACTTATAAGTGTACTTAAACGTGACGTCATGCGACTTTTCAAATCAATATATCTCTGCAATGTTTATATTATGTGAAAAAAGAAAAAATACATGTCCAATACTTTTTGATAATTTTCCTGATAAACGAAGAAAAAAAAATTAGTCATCATCCCTATTTTGTAAAATTATTTTGTTTTGTTTCTGTGCATGTCGCGTTCGTATGTTTAGTTGTATGAGTTTGGAACAGTGTTAAAGCCGCCTTTGTTTGAGAGTAATGCTTCCATTTCATTTCTAATACGTTGCTGTTACCACATACCGAAACCACCTTCTTGTATATCTGCGCTGGCCCCGAGCACTCGCTGTACGGGTATTCCCCTGTAGCCATCTCCAGCATGCACATGCCGAATGCGTAAACGTCCACGGATTCGTCGTAATGTTCCTCGTACATTTCCGGCGCCATAAACTCGGGAGTGCCTAGAGGAGGTAATAAAACAAATACATAGAGTAAGGATTGCACGGGCAATTTTCTAAAGAGACAGAAAACAACCAATACATAGACGAACTACATACCGACCAATTTCAATTTACATTTGGTTAGGGAACCAACGATATTAAATTCCCTAGATACACCACGTGCGCTCAAAATCAAGAAGTGCTTAAACACCATTCAAGCACTTCTTAGTTCAAAGTCACGCGCGGACCGTTGAAAAGTCAGGATGCCGCAGAACTGCTTGAAAAAATGCAAAACAAATACTTATACTGTTTGTCAATTTGACGCATTTGCAGTAAATTTTGTTCTAATACTTACTATAAACTGAATTAATAGAAAATATTTGTGATATTCAAATACATGGTCGGTTATATAGTCCACTCTTTTCCTTGCGGTCTGTACCTGGTGTATTGCTAACACCGCATTCAGATTTGCACGCAGAGTCAAATAAATAGTCTATAATCTTTTGTCTATAGAAATAAGTCATAAAATTTGCGAGCTTGCGTTTCGAACGGTCATAATTCTCTGATGTATGCGATTAAAACCTTATGCAGTATGCATTAAATGTAACTTTCAATGTTATGCCTTGTATTGTTTTTGATTACGCGATCATCTTACGGAACTCCGTGGATCGTCCAATGTACTTTTTGGTCAGGTTTCGGCCACGATTTTGTTCGTGTTGTTGTATCTTGGATATTAAATATCGTTGTAGGGAACGCGTACATGGTAATAATGTTTAACGCATGGCTATTGTTGCTATTTGTAAGCTTGACATGATAAAGATAAGACTGCTGTCAAGTTTTTAAATAAGAGCAAATACGAATAGAAGTGAAGTGCCGGCATCTCGTGGATATTCGTGTTTTCTATGTGTAAACTTGACACCTGACAGCTTTTCCTTCCTAGAGCATGTTAAGGATGAACAGCTGTCAAGTTTACACATATAAAACACGAATAGCCACGTGAAATGCTAGCATAAGAAACAAAAATTCAATATATACTTAACTTCGTTAAGTATTTTCGTTGTTTCTGCCTTACTCTAAGACATTAAAAAGTTTTGAAGTCTTTTCTTTTTGATACAAGATTCATATTGCTCTCTTTGTATAACCTCCTTACTTGTATTTTTTATAATAATATGTTTTCACAACCTCCCTGGCCTCTAACAATCAAATTTTTAGTTTCTGATAGGAACAACTTTAATTTTTTACACTGCACCATATTTAACAGATTAATTATATTTTGTTTATTCCGCTCACATAAACTATTCGAAATTAAAGGATAAGTTAGAATTAGTAAACACTTTTTAAGCACGTTTTGCTGTGTGCGCGCGCGCCAGTCTGATGTCCCCACTGCTGGGGCACAGGCCTTCCCTTTGGATGGAATATACAAATTGGGACATGACGCACCATGCGGGGGTAGTGCGTATTGGCGACTGTAGATGCAATTGGAACCAACGGCTTACCGTGCCTTTCGAAGCACGGAGGAGGATAATAAGTTTTTGGTCACCCATCCAATGATCGATCCTCGCGAAAGTTGCTCAACTTCCACGATCGCATGCCGAACGCGCTATTTAACTGCGCCATCGAGCTCCTCCATCCTACTCAGACATAATAAAATGTAGAGAGAAACAAAAACCTTTTCACTGACAAAAGATAACAAAAATACAATACATTAACAAAAGCACGTTCTTGAACTCACCAATGACAGACTTGGCGAAACTTCTGTTTTTCAACGTCGCCAACCCCAGATCACCTATCTTGACGCTGCCGGTGGTTCCAGTAATGAAAATGTTATCGCACTTCAGATCTCTGTTGAACAAAAATATTCTTTTTGTTACATTGATAAAGGTATTAATTCAGCAATTAAAACTAGTGACTCTCAGACAACGAATGAGAAATGATATGGAATACGAACTGCCCTAAAAAGTGGTTTCACGCAAACTCCGATCAAGTGGGCAGAGCGAAAAAATACGATCAACACGCCGATCATGGGATTGGTTGGTATTTCCATTTAACATTATCTTACCCAATGAATGGATAGCTAAATTCATTTCAAACTATACTCCCAACTCGAAAGAATTAACTTAATACTCTTTACTGTTCAGGAGAAAAAGTTGAACAAAACGGAGCGTTTGAGGTTTCGAGAGGAAGCCGATATGCTGAAGAAACTCCAACATCCTAACATCATCATTCATTTACAGATATTTGATCTGTCAAATTATTTCAAAAAGCAATATTTTATATTGAAGTTTAGCTGTATGAGTCTAGAACCATGTTTTTGCGGCCTTTGTTAGAGAGCGAAGCTGCAATATCATTTCTAATTCGTTGCTCTGTTCTTAATTTTAACAATGCTGTGATATTCCTTAACTCGACAGTAATAAAGGCTGTATAACAAAATACATGACTATCATACATAACCCATGTGGGTTACATTTTCCTAAAACGAACTTTAGTGAAGCAACTATAAAATATGATATGTTCGGTTATTAAAGACAGAAAACGATAGTAAGACTTTGGGCGCGCGAAGTTCGCCTCTATCACACTTATACGCACGGTTTTCTATAAAGTGCTTGACTGCCATGCCCAAGCAGAGTTTCGGCTCAGAACAAAATGACATTTCTCGCACGCACACATTGACGTACAGGCATACTCACGCAGTTTCAGGCAGAATTCATTCGCGATTAAAAACACGTATTATCAAAATCGGAATATCGGAAACTCGCCAGAAACAACGTACGTTGTAGTAATCCCGTAAATAACTTAAATTACCATAATTAATCTAACGTCAAGTCTTCTCGTCACCCATCCCTCAATGTCTCAAGTCGAAAGTCTTCGACCAGTGCGTCCTCCCAGTTATGATATACGGCCCCGAGACGTGGACACTCACGGCTGGACGAATCCACCAGTTTAAAGTCGCTCAGAGAGCTATGGAAAGGGCTATGCTCGGAGTATCCCTGAAGGACCGCATCAGAAATAATGTAATCCGGCAGAGAACCAAAGTCACCGACATAGCCCACCGAATTAGCAAACTGAAGTGGCAGTGGGCTGGTCACATTAGCCGCAGAACTGATGGCCGTTGGAGCTGGAAAGTTCTTGAGTGGAGACCACGACTCGGTAAACGTAGTGTAGGACGCCCTGAGACAAAATGGGATGATGATATTCGTAGGCTGACTGGAGTGGGCTGGATGAGAGTAGCACAAAATCGGGAGCAGTGGCGTGCATTAGGAGAGACCTATGTCCAGCAATGGACGAACATGGGTTGATGATGATGATGATGAATCTAACGTTCCTATGTAAGCATACACGGCTGCATGTCTTTAATACCGGTAGATCACTTGGCTATTCGTCTTTGCTATTTGTAAACTTGACAACAGTCTATCTTTATCATGCTTTATAAATAATCAAAAGGACAGACTGATGTCAAGTTTTCAAATAGCAAACACGAATAGCCAATTCAAGTACCGGTATAAGATTACTGCATTATAGCAATGAATAAATAGGCAAATTATATACTATTATGATGATTGTGATGACCATACCTACCTGTGTATGATGGGCGGCGTGCGCGAGTGCAGGAAGTTTAACCCTTTGAGGATCTGCCGGCACCACGACTTCAGGACCTTGGGGTTGATGCGCTTGAAGCGACGGAGATATCTGTGTAGCAAAAATTATCAAGTATATCAGATAAACTGTTTTGAGGTAACTATTTTTTCAACACGTTTGCTCATAAATTGACTTTTATTGCAGTTTTTTGTTTCACCTGTGCTGTAAAAATATTACCGCACAATTTTATTTTATTTTTTTAATTACAGCATAAGTTTATGCATAAGGGCATTTAAATTTTTTACGAATTTAAAATTAAATTAGGGTTAAGATCACAAATAAACTTTTCGTTTCATATTAATAAACACAAATTAACTTAACTATCGTATTTAGAAAAGTAAATATAGTTTATTTTATATTGTATTATTAGTATTGCTGTTGTCCAGCTGCGCAGCCGATTTTTCCTATGTGTAGTGAACGTGAAAAAAACAAAACTTACTGTGTTTTTTTTTTATTTCCTCGAAACATTTTCTTTCTTTTTTTTTCTCTCTTTTTAAAAGCTTTCTCTGCAGCTAAAGACTGCGGCAAATAAATATAGAGTCTTATTGCTAGGAGTTATATTTTGTATTTTGAGCTACAAACGAACATAAAGGCTTGTCTACGGCTCGAGATTTACAAAGTCACAACATATTTATTTGTTGAGGAGGTCGATGGCGATTACAGAAGTTAAACACCTATCGCAATCAGAGCTACCAGATCATATAATTGTATACAAAAACGGTATGATCAGACTTTTTAGATCAAGGGACCCGTTTGTGAAATATTTGTATTTGGACCTTCATTGCGATTTGTATAATGCAATCGAATTTCGTATAATTGAAGACACTAGACGGTATAAGAGATAATAATATACTGGCAGCCCAGATAGCAATAGCCTGTCATTGGATTGGTGACAAAAAATGTTTTATCTCTCAATCCTCTAAGCTTCGGAAGGCACGTTAAGCCGTTCGAAATACGGCTGCATCTGCAGTCGTTAGCACCAACTATTCCGCACTGGACCCACGGACTGGGTTTTTGTCCAATCTCCGTATTATATCCATAGAGAAAGCATGTGCTCCAGCAGTGGGGACATTAATAGGCTACTAATGATGATAATGATAATAAGACAGTACATTATGACTCACGCTTTCAATGTACCAGACAACATCAGTTCAGTAATGAGGACAATATTCTTCTTCTTAGCCACGGTTCCTTCCCAGTAGTTGTAGAACCGTACGATGTTAGGATGTTGGAGTTTCTTCAGCATATCGGCTTCCTCTCGAAACCTCAAACGCTCCGTTTTGTTCAACTTTTTCTCCTGAACAGTAAGAGTATTAAGTTAATTCTTTCGAGTTGGGAGTATACTTTAGTTAGGGTCTTTGAGAAAAATTGAGCATGTCAATTTTTGTAATATTTCAAATTATTTCGTTTTGTTGCCTTTTTAACTTGACGATATCCTATCAGAATAACGGCTCAATAATTAAAGAAACTTTTTCTCGACTCTGCGTATTTGCAGTTTCTTCGTTATTTCGAGAATTATATCGAAAGCGCTTCTGCCCCCTTAGCACGAGCACTGCAAAAATGATAATATAGCTGGTTTTTATCAAGATCAATTTATTGTCAAATTACTATAGTTTAACAGTTAGATGCGATAAAAACGTGATATAATATATATCATCAGTGCCGTCTTTGACCTATTGGAGGCCCTGGGCATATTAGGATAATGGAGCCCCTATGACTTTCGTTTGGTGATTTAACAGGAACTAGGGACTTTGTATTTGATCTGAGGGGGGCCCCTATCGATCGCGGGGCCCTGGGCACTTGCCCAAAGTGCCCACTGGGAAAGACGGGTCTGTATATCATGGTCCGGGGACTGGTACTTAATTTTATTTTATGGCAATTGTACTAAAGAAAGCATTAGCTATTCGAATATCGTTTCATTTTCTTATCGCTAAAACCGGTTCGAGCTCCTCCGTACTTCGGAAAGCATGTGAAGCCGTTGGTCCTAGCTGCATCTTCAGTTAGTTCGTTAGCACTTACATGGGTCATGGCTTTATCTCTCTATTCCATCCACAGGGAAAGCCTGTGTCCCAGCAGTGGGGACATTAATAAGCTGATGATGATGGTGATAAACTGACTGTACATACCAATAACTCGCACCAGGCGACGGCGACGCCAGTCTGCGTGTCAAGCCCATGGTAAACGGTCTTGAACGAACCGCGGCCCACTTCCTTGTCGTATTTGAAAAACCTGACAAATACCACTGAAATTATTAAATGAACCCATTCCAGAAAGACCAGCGTATTATACCCAAGTATAAATCCAACTTTAATCAAAACTAATGTAAGACTCCTTTTGAATGTTATGCTGCCTCTGTCTTTTATTTACCATAAAAAGGTGACAGCATTATATTTAAACTGATTGCACATTTGTCAGCAACGTTCGCGCCACATTTGCTAATAACCATTACGAAATTAAACATGCAAGGTTTCACATGATTGCATACACCGAGTTCTAAAATGCGTGGGCCTGCACGTTGCTGACATTTATGTGCGATCAAATTTTAGACGGATTTAACTTCATGGCGGACTTCATATCGATATCGTCATCCCACTTTAACTTCAATAGGTTACAATGTTGTAGAGTAGGACATGACACGACGAAGTTCAAGATACTTATATTTTAATGTTATAAGACCAACCCCTCTAGCATGAGCACCACGACATGATTTAAAAAACGTATTTATCACGATCAAATGTCAAATTTCTATGGAGTTTGACAGGTATGCACGATAAAAAACGTGATATAATGTGAATTGTGGTGCTCGTACTACAGGGCCTGAACATGCACATGCAACTTTAAGAAATATCCTTATAATAACACTCTTTTTTTCCGGAATGAGAATGAAGGAAAGCAAAATGTATCTTACAATTTTTTAGAATATTGCTGTAAGTGGCCGTAAACATGAGAAAGTTAAAGACATTTATTAATTAATGAAGTGTAAAAGGCATATATAATTCACCTGCCGCAAGGTGAAACTCCTATTGGTTCCTCCTCATCCTCTTTGTCTGCCTTCATATCCTTCTGCAGCTCAAGTTTATCTGTTGAAAATATAGCATGTTAAATATGCATACATACTATGGCATTGTGAGACTAGTCAAGCGAAAGAACTACAACAAATCTGTCTAAAAGTAAGCAAGAATGTATTTTGTCGCGCACAGAAATTCATATTGAACAAATTTTACTTTTTAGTCTGCTTCGTAGTTTGATAGGCAATAAGTGCGGAAATGAAGTGTTTAAGTATTTTTATCTACACCCGTGCTTTAAAACCCCTATTAGCGATTTTAAAACAGTTAGCTTATTGCCAATATTAAAACATTCAATGTCATAATAAAAAAAAAATATTACACCCAAACGGGGGTGGGGGTTATAATGTTGTACTAATTTCACAATAACACTGCTTCGCTTTTTAAATCTATTCCGCGCCGAGGGCTTACTCATCAGACAGCCACAATTTTCACTGCTCGATGCGCGGTATTACGAATTTCAAAAAAGAACATAATTCACGCACCTTTTTTCACAAACACAACGATAATCACGACTTTATTAAAAAATTAGCAAATTTTCACTCATATTAATAATTACGAAACACACTTCCTGAAGATATAGCTTTCATAGTTGTTTTATTCTTTTTGAAAAAATCGAAATAGAGTTCCAAAGTACTAGCGGTTGGCCCAGTTTATTTGCAGTCGAGTGTAGTTAAACTCCAGTCCAGCACATTACGAATGATGGGTGAATAAATAATACAGGATCGCTTAAAAACACTTTGTAAAAAGCATAGTTCAAATTAAACGTAAAACACTAAAGTTCTTAATAAACAATCACACTTCACACTTATCACTAACCAAAGCAATGACAGGGTATTTGGTGATTATTTTGGGAATTTTATATTCTCCAATATCCGCACCAAATAAAACAATTCTAATTGTGTTTAAGTCGAATGTAGTTAAACTCCAGTCCAGCACATTACGAATGAGGGGTGAATAAATAATACAGGACCGCTTAAAAACAAACACTTTGTAAATAGCATAGTTCAAATTAAACATAAAACACTAAAGTTCTCAATAAACAATCGCACTTCACACTTCTCACTAACCAAAGCAATGACAGGGCATTTGTTGATTTTTTTGGCAATTTTGTATTCTCCAATATCCACACCAAATAAAAAAAAATTAATTGTGTTTAAATCGATTCTTATATTATACCGGTAATGAGTCTAAGTTGAAGTTGTTATAATTACTAATTAATACAATAATAACATTAAAACCGGTTATAAAATTACGCGTAAACATTCTGCTTATCACTTTGTGTCTATTTTTAATTACTATTTGTTTTTTAAACTATTAGCCCTCAATACCTTACGTTTGGTACGGCAAATAATAACAGCAGTGTCATTCATTACTGCAATATGCAAACAATGCATATATTTTGTAGTGTATGAGTTTGACTACCTAGTTTTAATAAATCTCTATGCCATACATGGCTCTGAGGACCAAGCACGAATTTTGACAGCCCCGTAATCATATAGTAATCATCAAATTTTGTATGGAAGAAGCCACTTTGTTCTTACGTCCGGTAGGGGCGCTGCTTAGTTTGCATACAATGGTTTAAAGAATTTTTATTTCTCAAAAAGAGTAATAAAATTCACTTACTGAGAGAAATATTTTTTGAACGTAATGCATAAATAACACTTGAGCGTACATATACAATAATCAACGTGGGTAGACCGAAATTTGAATCGCAACTCGCACAGTTGCACTAGAAATTTAGACGAAACGATATGATTACGGAGCTGTTAAAATTCGTGCTTGGGCCTCTGATCGAAAAATAAGCAGTATTTTTTCTAAATTGACTCTGCAGAGGAATCAAACGAATGAATGTACCACAAACATGTGTGAATAAAGGTAAATCAAAGATGGCGTTGACAAAATTAAAAACGGTGTGCTAGCTACCGATCAATGAAATTTATGAATGAAATTATTCATTTACTATATAATACGTCAAACTATGTTGTCGTGAAAATCAACGAACTAAAAATGATATTGAATCAATGCTGCGAAGGCCGTTAAACATAACCATGTTATGTTTACCAAACTTATTCTACTAAACTTCAATACTCAGACACGCACAAAGACAAAACAAATATCTGCAAATGAATTCGACTATCCATTCATTGTGTAAGATAATGTTAAACGGAAATTCTAACCAATCCCATGATCGGCGTGTTGATTGCATTTTTTCGCCCAGCCCACTTGATCGCAGTTTGCTAGGAACCACGTTTTAGGGTAACCCGTGTTTAATATCATTTCTAATTCGTGGGTGAAAACAGAAGATGCTTACCATTTTGCGGTTCTTGGGACTGCGCCTCCCCCGAATCGTCAGCTGGTGGAATCCCCTTCTCCGTGGCGGTCGCTATCTCGATATTTTCTTCCTAAGTGACACGATATATAGAAACTATTAAAGATTAGTAGCAAAAACTCACATTCTTCACGCTACTCAAATCTATCTTAATCCTAGCTGCATCGCTATAAGATAAGGAAATAGAGAGCATTTTCAGATAATCAAATCTCTTAACATGTTCTTGAACAAATTTGACTACGAGTTAATATATTCAACTTTTCTATGTAGATGTTTTGATTGAGTATTTTTTTATTAATTTTAATTATTGCCAAATTTAATTTTATAAATGAATTTCCATAATAATAATTACAAAATTAAAGTACTAAATTAAACTACTACTGTAAATGAGATCAATTGAATAAGATATATTATAAAATTGATGAAATCAGATGACATTTATGCATGATTTGAGAAATAAAGTTGTTTAATACAAATCAGGTTCTTCGTATATATAATTGTTTATTAATTAAATAATCTTTTGTAATTTTTATCTATAACAAACTACTATATTGCGATACCCTGACAGGGTTATTGTTAGGTACTTTATGCATTTTGTAACTTGTAACAATCTATGTCACCACATGAGTGCAATAAGTTGAATTGAATTGACATGCATATGAAACAAAACTGTTACCACGACACTCACACAAAGACAATGACACAATACATGGCCAAATCCTGCAAACATGTAAAGTTTGTATGCCCAACTCGACAGAGGGGAAAGCTGGGTATGCATACTCCCCTGCTGGCCGTGTCCGTCGTGTTGCTCTATGTTTGAATCATTCAGTTTCACCACTAAGTATGTAACCTCGCTGAGAACAAAGCGTAGTTTCTGTCACGTTCACATTGACGTATCGTTAACAGACTTTATTACGCAGTTCTGAGCAGAATTTATTCGCGACTTGCAATACGTCTTGTTAAAATCAATAGCGGTAAATTTAAAAAAGGCGACATTGCAATTCATCGTAATCCAATTCATTCTCCTTAGGAATGACCATCCAGGTTGATTGGCACATTAACCCTATATTCTCCTACTACCATAATGACTCACCAGGTCCCGCTCAGAGATAAATAAATAAATATTTCCAACACTCACACCAATTAGCCTAACCCCAAAGTAAGCACTTTAAGGCTTGTGTTATGGGATACTAGGGTAACGGATAGAATACATATACAATAATATATAGTTATATTTATATAGAAATACATATTAAACATCCATGACTGGAGTTAAAATGCTCGTATTCATCACATAAACATGTGCCCCCACCGGGATTCGAACCCAGGACCTCTCGAGTCAGCGACACCATGAAACCCACTATCGTCCACGTAACGTCCAGTTCAGGGTCGTATAGAGGACCCTATATCCTCCCACTACTGGACTGTATAGGACCATTATGACACACAAGGTCCTGCTCAGAGGTGAAGGCATTGTCCTCAAGCCTAGCGACCAGCTTGTTCCCGCTGTCGTCCAGGTCAGGGTCGTATAGAGGACCCTATATCCTCCCACTGCTGGCCTGTATGTGACCATAATGACTCACCAGGTCCTGCTCAGAGATGAAGGCGTCGTCCTCGAGCCTGGCGACCAGCTTATTCCCGCTGTCGTCTAGTTCTGGGTCGCATAAGGGACCTTGACCAGAACTACGGCGCCTATATCCTCCTACGCCTACACCCACGCCCACCACTGGTTGGCTGGCCTGAAATAAAATGACAATTTAAAATCAGTGACCATTCTGTAAAGAAATGCAAGCTTAAAAAACATACAGGACAAATTGCTTGTTTTTGTTTTAAGAATCTCCGTCTTTTTATTTGAAGTCGGTTAAAGATGAATTTTCTTACAGAGAGCTTTAAAACTAAGCTCGAAAAGTTCACTCTATAAGAAAACGGCCAAAATAAAATACTTCGGCCGCACTACTAACCGCGACTACGCCAGAGAATCACGAAGAGTTCGTATTTCTATCATTTTATAATAGTGATTCGTCGATAATAGGCACCGTCGCGGTTCTCTAGCTGGTGGAGATAACGCTTTAAATATGTCTGTCTCACTGTCTACCATTATCTTAAGTTAGGGTAATTCTATGTTTACATCTATAATAAGAGCCCATACTGACCACGCTGGTGGTTAGAGAGTTGAGGATGTCGAAGGTGTTGCTCTGCTGCGTGTGGATGATGTACGGGGGCCTTCATTAGCTCGAGTGAGGGTAGTTCTATGTTTATATCTAACTAGGAGCCCATACTGACCACGCTGGTGGTTAGAGACTTGAGGATGTCGAAGGTGTTGCTCTGCTGCGTGTGGATGATGTACTAGGGCCTTCATTAGCTCGAGTGAGGGTAGTTCTATGTTTATATCAAACAACGAGTCCATACTGACCACGCTGGTGGTTAGAGAGTTCAGCATGTCGAAGGTGTTGCTCTGCTGCGTGTGGATGATGTACTGAGGCCTTCATTAGCTCGAGTGAGGGTAGTTCTATGTTTGTATCTAACAAGGATCCCATACTGACCACGCTGGTAGTTAAAGAATTGAGCATGTCGAAGGTGTTGCTCTGCTGCGTGTGGATGATGGCCAGGGCGTTGTACGCGGGCGGTCGGAGTACTGGCGCCTTCATCACGCCTACTTCGCTGCCTACCACCACCTGTGGTGACAGACTTAACATTAACTCTTAACGCTCGTACTCAGAGATATCAATAACCTTGTAAACTTAATTGAAGGCATTATATTTAAATTGTATTATTTTATTTTTTACGTCAAAAAAAAATTATTCCGACGACGCAGCCTGTAAAGGCTGTGAAACGTCAATAAATAAATAAAGTTTCGTGTATTAACCCGTGAAAAACTAGTTTTATTTAATGAGTGACGTGCGTGAAAACCTAAGAAACAGACATTTTCTTAGTTCTTTAGATGGATTATTATCAACAAGTATTGGACATTTTATTTATTCAAATAATAAAAATATTACAGAGATATGTTGATTTGAAATATCTTATGACGTCACGTCTTGGTACAATTTTTACTTAGAAGTGACGTCACCAGACCTCACTCCCAAACTTTGACGAGCTTTAACTTTGTCATTTTTTGTTTGATTGACAAAAGCAAAATATGTGTTTATTTTTTGATAAATCTAACTGACGGACAAAATAGAATTTTGTTTACTCTAACCCCGGCACCATAATGATTACACAAAATTGATTTAACTTCTCTTGGTACGTCCGTCCGTCCGTCTGTCAAGACCGTTTTTGTTAGGAACGCGTGGAGGTATCAAAGGTATCAAACTGAAATTCATATCTAATACTCAGGTCTACTGTCCCTTGGAGCTGTGAAAAAATCAAACTTCTACGCCAAAGCAATCAAAAGATACAGCCGCGTATGCCGCAAATTTCGAAACTCACACGGGACTCAAAACTTACAGGGTACTTCCCGTGAACTTAGAATCTTGAAATTTGGTACGAACTAACGTCTTATAGTACAGACAAAGGAAAAATGCGAAAACCGTAAATTTTTAGGTACATCATATAATAAAAAATATTTTTTAATAATTATTAAAATATACCTACTAGTAATGTAACGAATGTAATTTTTTGGAACATTCGCGAATGCGAATGCGGATGCGAATATCTGGCACTGACATCCGCGAATGCAAATGCGAATATTTAGAGTAGTAGAGAGTTTGTTCAAAATTGGCGCCAATTGTCTATAGCATGGTGGCAGTCTCCTTCGAATTGCCGAGTTGATATGAGGTGTATTCCGAAATATAACCAATACACTGGCCGGCGGTAATGACGTCATGATTTCGACTTAAGACTAATTTTCGGTGTAGTAGTAGTGTTGTCAATATGGCGTCGAAATCATGACGTCATTACCGCTGGATAGCACTCTGGTCTATATTTCGGAATACACCCAGGAACTCATCCGACTGAAGTGTCATTCCGCTCCCGCCAGTCTTTTCGTAAACAAAACAAGTGAATTTGGAGGTTAGAGTTTGAATAGTGATTTATTAACATGAGTAAATCAAAATCTAGTAAAATATGGACTTATTTCGCACTTTGCGATGCTGAAAGAGCTAAATACAAGCTGTGTAACAATTAATATTGAAGGAAAGGAAAAACTACAACTTCTTCAAATAGTTTTTTTCTAATATTCATATTCGCAAAACATTCTCAGAGATTTTGCGATGCGAATGTGAATGCGAATATTCAAAAATATGCGAATATCCGTTCTTCGAATGTTCCTTTTTCAAAAATATGCGAATATCCGTTCTTCGAATGTTCGTGCGCGAGTCCGATTCGCACTTGGCCGGTTTTTTTATTATAAAATTCATTTTGTTATCCAAAAATAGTATTACAGGCGCCCGTGGAATTTTACGTCACTAACGAAAGTGATCTTTGTCTAGGGCTGGCATCTGCCTGATCGAATGTAGAGAAATATTATACCTATCCGTCCTTCTCGGTAGCTCCCGGTCTATGATTATGCATAGGGAAGAAACAGTAAATTTAAATGATGGCCCTATCAAATAAAACAATAAAAACGAGTGAGCTTATAACCACACGACTGAAGTGAAACTTCTTTAGCTCCATCTGTATATATATATATATATACCCTCATCTGCCGTTCGCCTCGCCCGAACACACTTTTCGTAACGCATAACGCATTCGCCAGTTTACCCCCCAAGTCAAGCGTGCGTTTTTCAAGAAGTTTCACTTCAAAAATGGTGATGAGGACTTTCTTTGATTTCAAGATATATAATTCTAGGATCTATGGTAGTACATATCCTCAACCCTAAACAAGACTGCATGCAAGAAACACTTTTTTGTTAAGGGTAGCAAACCAGCGTATGGCCCGCCTAATTGTAAGCGGCCACCATAGCGTTTTAGATTTGTGTATGCTATTTTCCTGCAATTTTTGTTTCATATCTTTATAAATCTAGTTTAGGTATTACCGATTTGGAGTGAATGCCAAACAAATAAGCTCACTCAGCTAACTCATGCGTGTTGTGACGTGAGTTGTAAATTGCGTAAGATGGCGGAATAAAATACCTTTATTTTAAGAATATTTCTTATATTTTATTTCCAGACTTATTGAAATTTCCTTTTATACTTAACCTGTCCTGACCAATAACGAACACAATTAAAATAAGAATTATCCAATTTGGTTCAATCATCGTGCGTGTGAAGTGACGCGCATACATACATTTCGACGATTCATTATATATACATATATAGATTTCGATAGCACATTTAGTGTTCTGCCAACCCTTTTAGATATAACGTGAAATATATATCCACACGAATCTAACAACACACACAGCGATAAATTTCAAGCAGGTCATCAGACGCGGTCGAGCAATTGTGAATAATTCCACATGTCAACCCAGTCATTTGTTTACATACTAGAGAATCATATTATGACGCAACTAAGAAAGTACGACGAACCACGTGAAGAAAATCCAATAGGATGAGACGCATGCGTTGATTCAATGCATTAAACACATTTTCCATGAAACATTAATCCCATACGGCATTGGCTACTTATGATTCAGGTAAACATAGATTGGAAAAGGGTAAGTGGGTTTTTAAACTATATCCGCGCAAAAAGCCCTTGCATGATAACGTCATTTATATCTGAAACATAGGCCGCATACAGACACATTGCATTGAATGCTGTCTTATGTCACGTATTAACTTATTCTTTTGGAATCGCAAGAAAAGCGAAGGGACGAGACTCCAATTTTAAAGTAGCACTAATTTTGACTTTTAGTCAAAATTTATATTGTATTATGCAGTAAATGATAACTATACTATCGTAGTAATAGAGAAAATGCAGCCGTGTAGGTTGCAATAGAAATGGCAGTTTCTGTATAATACTGTATAGCAGGCCATAAAGGAACTTCTTTTAATAATAAAAGGTAAGAAGAGATTCAAAATTTTTACAACAGTATTTAGAGAATATGGTAAAATTGTGCGTAAATCCTAAAACAACTTGTTAAAAATTATCGACTAATATTTATAATAGTAAATTTAAGTCGGGAAGATCTTTCTTTTCCAGATCTTTAGGTGATGAACGGAGTAACAACTAATAAGTACTACTTATCACACTAATATTATAAAGGCGAAAGTTTGTGAGTGTGTATGTTTGTGACTTGTTCACGTCTAAACGGCTGGACCGATTTTAATAAAATTTGGTATGGAGTTAGCTGACACCCTGGATGATCACATAGCCTACGTTTTACTGTGGGAAAATATCCCTAATAAACCACGGGTAACACCGTGGGGCACAGCCAGTATCTAATAGTTACAGGACTATGTTTTGCTACGAAACCATAAACGGAACAAACACACAGGACAAGTCTTCGGAACTGCCTGATTCAAAGAAACGCCAGGAACATGCTTGATTGATGGCATTAGACAATGTCTATTCTAGGAATGAGAAAAACTGTTGGCACTTCACCAGTGTCTTCGAACATTTATCTGTTTTTTAGGAATCGTCGATTTCACATTTAAGAATAACAAATTCGAAGTAACTCGTTTGTTTAGACAATGGTTGAAATTGAGCAAATAAGTGTATTTCAAAATTTACAAGGAAACTATCTGGCAGCGTAGCACTGCGATACCGTCGTCCAGAATGTTCAGAATATTCCTAAATCGATTGCGAATCTTATATCCAACTCAATAAAATTCCATTTCTTTTTTTCAGCTTCAGTGTTAATACCACAATTTTTCCAAAATTTCGAAGTTATTTCTCATATGAACTGACACCGAAAGAAGACATTAAAGTGGTCCACCCACGTAGGCAGTTTCTGTTAACATCGTAGACGATGTGATGTCAAACTTCAACTTAACACAATTATGCCCAAATTTCGAAATTATTTCTAGAGGTCGCCCGCGACTTCGTCTGCGTTAACTTAGTTTCTTGAAAATCCCTCAGGAACCTAACATTTTTTCGGGATAAAAGTAGCCTATGTGTTATTCTGGGGTGTCAGCTAACTCCATACCAAATTTTATTAAAATCGCTCCAGCCGTTTAGACGTTAAGAAGTAACAAACATACACACTCACATACTCATACACTCACAAACTTTCGCCTTTATAATATTAGTGTGATTATGAACTGAGATCGAAAGAAAACATTAATTGGCCTACCCACATGAGCAGTTTCTCTTTATTTCTTATTGTAAAAGATGGCAAACTACAACTTAGACCTAAGTTAATGCCACATGTGGCGCCAATGAGCTGTGCTTAGCCACAGAGTCGCGTGCGCAACATCCAGTATGCTTATTTTCGATAGAACTACAATAAATCTCATTATATGTATTAAATTCAGATTTATAAAAAGGTCCGACAAGTGGCCTGATGTTAAGTGAGGGTATATTCCAGATACGAATAAAACTGCTGCAGCAGATTTACCTGCCACACCAGCCATGCTCAAGATATATATATGCTATATCTATGTAGAACATTTATTTTTAATACTAATCTATATATATAATAATCAATTGCTGTTCTTTAGTCTTGCTTAAACTCGAGAACAGCTGAACGGATTTATGTTATCTTGGTCTTGAAATGTTCGTAAAGGTCTTGAGAAGGTTTAAAAGGTGAGAAAAATTCGAATAATTGCCGGGAAACCCCTAAAAACAGCGAGCGAAGCCGCGGGCAAAAGCTAGTACGCGACCCCCGAGCTAACATCACCCAGCTCCGAGGAATATCTACCCCTTTGGCCTTCCTACACTATCATAGTAAGTGGATTCCAGGCGCGAAGATAGATGATATTTTCCCTGCCCTGTAAACCTTGACCATATAAATTAGCATTGTACACAGTTTGTTTTGAGTTACCCTGAGAAACTGTACCAGCTAATTCAGACAACGATATAGAAATTATATTTCCATAATTTTCTTTTAATTTTTTTTCTCAAGTAATTAGTCTATTTCAACTCACATATTTGTTTCTTAGGTTTTCACGCACATGTCCCATTAAATAAAACATGTTTGAACCGGTTAGATGCACTGATTTTATTTATTTATTGACGTTTCGCACCCTTTGCAGGAATGCGAATTATTCTGACTAAAATAAATAAAATTTGTGCATCTAACCCGTTGAAACTTGTTTTATTTTATACTTTAAACATACTTACATCCGCCGATCCTATAGAAGTATGTATTTAGTATCATGTGGCATAGTGTTTGCCCCAGTGAACGTCACATTTTACTGGGTAGTTGTGTGTTTATGGTCTTTTGTGCTAAATTTCATTGCTTTTTCTAACCATTGCAAGATTTGTTTTTCCATTGAGATATTTGCAACATAAAATACATAGTAAACACGGGAACAATGAGTTTACATTATGTTTCATGTATTCATACAAAAGGCAATACTTTGTATTTTCGGTTATGAAGCTAACAAACATTATTGTATATTATTATAAATGTGTAAAAATAACACGTGCACAATAAATATACAACACATTATGCTCTTAAAGCATGAGAGTGAATTTGTTATACCGGTATTTTTTCAATATTGTAATTTTTAATACTGGAAAACCGACATTTCGATATTAATATTTAACTTTTTTTAAGTTTTAGAATTTTAAATGTACGATTTATAAATTTAAATATTTCAGATGATATTAATAACACTTAATAGAATTCTGCTGGACATCTCTACAAGTCCGTTGGAGAGGCATTACTAATCGTCTTGATAGTAGTTTTGATGACTAAATACTGTCGGATTTAATTATATAAAAACTTAAAAATTAATTAACGCCCAGAGTGCGACGGTCAATTTAACATTTACAATTATTTCAAAATATCCATATAATGTATCCAATAAAAAACACTTACCAATGCGTTAAATCTCAACTTGAAAATTAAGAAACATGGTACTTCCGCCTTTATTTTTGAACAAAAGATTCCACAACAAATTTCCAAACCCCACCTAGTGTTAAGTGTAAGTGGAGTCCAGTCGCAAAGATAGATGATGCGGCAGAAGCTGTGCCGCTCCAGCCATCCTCACCTTGCTGGCCTGAACCCAAGACCTACTCCGCGAAGCCATGGAACCCTACTCACCAGCAGAAACACAACACCACCGAAAGATAGTTTAATTTCACTGTGCTCTTCTGTAGCGTTGTAGCGTATGCGCGCGTAGATGGCACAAGATTCGGAGTGGACTCGAGGGGTGAAGAACCCGAGGCAAAGAGAGAAGAGGACCATACAATTGGAGCCAGCGGTACCACTTCAGAGTGGGCACGGGACGGCTGGGATGGCGACGAAGGCGTTTCGTGTACGTCCGCCCCAGAAAAGGGACCATAGGGACAAGGAGATAGATAAAGAATAATTTGTAGGGAGTCAAGAACGTAAGCGCGGTGGAGGCCAATCCGCGCGTATCTCCCGCTGCTTCGGCCTACATAACCAAGAAGGTTCGCCAGGCCATGGGTGAATGGTGGGATTTGTGCTCTTCTGTACATTCGAGCGGATAATTCCGTTATTCCCTGCCTATTTTAAAAATGTACCGATACCCTCGACCAATAGGGCCGACTAGTAGGGTCTGTCTAGGTGCGCGCTGCGGTGAAGCGGGGAGGGTGGAAGCGGCCAACTCGAAGCAAACGGGTAGTAGTTTTAAGTTCATGAATTTCGCACAGAACACAGAAAGAGGAGAAGGGCCTTGTGCGCGGGGCAGGTGCCACAGTTATATATGAGCAAATGCTCATAACTTGATCAAAACTTGGTTCTGATTGCGTCGTTGCTGTCGGTGGAAGTGCTATTTGGTTCGATTGTTTGATGTAGCGTCGTTTGATTGGCTATTACCAATTAGGTGGAGTGGCGGCGAGCCGGCGACATCGGTTCCCGTACAAACGGTCTATGAACACCCTTCTAACCTTTTTCTGTGTTCAGTAATTCCACACTGATGATTCATTTCTCAAATTAGGCCAATAGAGAAAAAGGACGTACTTTAAATGTCTTCTCCTTGCCATGCACGGTCTTTTCTTTCGCTACGGTAGCGGGCTCGAGGTGGTGCGGCGGCTGTGAGATCTGGTGGCTGTGCCCGTGCAACCCAGGTGTCATCTGTGAAGGAAACATAAAGAACTATAACACAACTGATACCTATATAAATACTCTTCACTAAAATATATTGAAACATCTGAATTGTCATCATCATCATCAGCTTATTTATGTCCCCACTGCTGGGGCGCAGGCCTTTACCATGGACTTAATAGGGAAATTTGTCCATGACGCGGGCCCAGTGCGGATTGGTGGATGCTAACGACTGCGAATGCAGCCGGGACCAACAGCTTAACGTGCCTTCCGAAGGACGGAGGAGCTCGAGTCCACTGCGAAAGTTGCTGAAGTTCAACGATCGCAGCCGAACGTTCTAACCACTTGAGCTATCGGGTTCCTCCTTACATACATTTAATATAATATCATCTTGGAATTTTGACGGAATTTGTAGGGTAAGATTTTTCCATTCAGTAAAAAAATTGTAACACCGTTGAAAGATTATTTAAACTTTTTACAGGTAGGTAAAAGTTTTTATCTAATTACTCGATAATCCCAATGTCTTAATCTCATTAAGCTTAACTAGACTCATTTAGACGAAAATATAGCTTTGTCTTGTTTATCGCTTTGGGACACATTGCTATTGATAAACCCTCTTAACATCATTAAGCCCATGTAATGAAAGCCTCATTTGCAAAATATATTCAGTAAACTTCCGAAGTTTACCTTCGTAAAGATATCAATGCACAAATGATGGTAAAGACTTGTGTTCTGTAATTTGATTTTGTTGATTTTCAAGCACGCGACTGCGTCGTCCATATTAGAGAATTAGGTTAGGTTTCAGTAGACGATTTTCAAAGGTTAAATGTACGGTTAACCAAATAATAATCATCTTGATTCATTATGTGTCTCGATGTAAAAAGGTAACCCAATTGAGGTTCCAATTTGACCTCTAATTAAGGAACATTATAACGTTCCCAAGAAATATAATCCGTACGGCATTCATAATAGGATTTACATTCTCAAAACAACTAGGCGACGACATTTTGACAGATGTGGTAAGTAGTTAAGCAAGCCGATAGTGGGAATTCATTAAAACCCTTTTTGGGGAAAACTATAAGGATGCCATTAGTATGAAGTCATAACTTAGAGCATATACACTAAGGTATATAAGATATAGATATTTGCTCTAAGAGTCATAAACATAAATTTGTTTTAAAACAGAAAATATCGATTAGGGTTCATAACCTTTTCAATGTACGGACTAAGGTTAGCTAAGGAGTATAATACTTGTGGAGAATGTATAAATTTCAAGATAGTTGGCGAAAGTTTGTTTGTATTTTTTTTGTTTATTTGTGACGCTTGCTCGCCTAAACTGAAACGATTAAGAGAGGACGCGAGCTAAGAGACATTTGAGAAATAGGTATTAGAAAAAACTATTACTGTCACGCATTGGCAAATACCATGCGATAGGGACAAAAGTTTAGCTAAAGCTGAAAATTGCGCAAAATTCGAGGTATGGCTCTCGACGATTTCCTTTCCAAAAATCAGATCATCATCACCTATTAATGTCCCCTGCTGGGGCACAGGCCTTCCCTATGGATGGAATAGGGAGATTGGGCCATGACCCACCACGCGGGCCCAGTGCGGATTGGCGGGTGCTAACGACTGCAGATGCAGCCGGGACCAACGTGGGCTTAACGTGCCTTCCGAAGCACAGAGGAACTCGAGATAGAAGATTTTTGGTCACCCATCCAATGACCGACCACCGCGAAAGTTGCTAAACTTCAACGATCGCAGCTGAGCGCGCTAACCACCCGCGCCACCGAGTTTCTCATTGCTTCGGATCAAAATCAGATATAATGTATGTAAAATAAATTTTACCCATTGAATAATAAGTAAATCTTTATTGAATTTCCACACTAGACGTCTTCAGTCGTAATAAAAATTTGTTTATTTTTGGCATTTTTGAGGGCTTCTAGTTTCTTTGAAATACAAATTATCGAAAAATTAAAACATAGGAGCATAGAATGAGTAAAAATATATTTTATGTTTGAAAATAATTTCTTTAGTGATAAAAATCAAGGAGGAAACGTTTGTATGGAAAAAATATTGCTCGGCTCCCCTGTTAAGCTGAAATTTAGCTTAAGTTAGAATTTTTAAACGGTTCTATACATATTTAACGCCTAGGGGTAAAAATAATTTATACAATATGTATTGTTTACGTAAATACACAATATATTATTAGTTTTGTTTATTTACTTTTTTTATATTAATCATATAACATACGAAATCATCATTCATTATGCGAACGGCTAGGGAGTGGAACTCCTTGCCGAGGTCTGTTTTCCCGGACCAATATAATCTGGACATCTTCAAGGCCCTAGTGAACAGGCATCTTCTAGGCAGGCGTGTACCATCCTAGGCCTCATCATCACTTTCCATCAGGTGAGATTGTGGTTAAACGCATTGCCTATTTTGCATAAAAAAATCAACTTACAAGACATTTATGGTCCACAATCTATTATTAATTTTGTTTATTTACTTTTTTTTTATATTAATAATATAACATACGAAATCAACTTACAAGACATTTATTAATTACTTTTTGACACTACCGTAACACTGTCTACTGATATTATCACTTCACTTCTTTTACTAAAAATAATTTTGTTAAGAGATAAATTTTGAGGCTCAAACTTGTTAAAGTTTTCCCTCCAAAACTGCACTTGTCTGTAGCGCGCGCAGATAACACAATACGGACGCGTGCGCGCGCACGTTCGGAAATAAACAGCGCACTGATAAAATGTGTTTTACAACGTGGTACAACTCCATTCACAAATAAATACGCACCGAGCGGAAATGCATAGGTATGATGAACTAATCTTTCTGAAGCAGCTGATATGGTAAAAATCTTGGGCGTCGTTTACATTGATATGTTATGAATTTATTTCATTTGGAATAGTCCTTGTGTCAAACTGCGGCTATAGATAGAATAGATTATAATAAAAATCGAATCATTTTCCATGTGAGATTGAAGTGATAACTTTTATTTATTTTTGCGTTTCGCATCCTTTACAGGATGCGTCGTCGGAATGATTCCAAATTTATTATATATATTGCTAGCTGTGCCCCGCGGTGTTACGCGCGGTTTATTAGGGACAATTTCCCCCAGTAAAACGTAGCCTATATGTATTGTTAATCCAGGGTGTCAGCTAACTCCATACCAAATTTTATTAAAATCGCTCCAGCCGCTTAGACGTGAAGTAACAAACATACACACTCACAAACTTTCGCCTTTATAATATTAGTGTGATTATTTAAATATTTATTATTAGTATCTTGTAAAGGATGCGAAACGTCAATAAATAAATCAGTGCATCTATACCGTTGAAACTGATTTTATTTAATGAGTGGTGTGCGTGAAAACCTAAGAAACAAATAGTGATAACTATATCATTATGAAAACTTCAAATTGGAATAACACCTCTTTTTTACTCACAGCAGACTATGCATGGGCACGGTAATAAACCGTGGCATGGGGGTGCATAGCCTGCTGTGATGCATATTCTCCAAAATGGGGATTTTGGAGATTTTTATTTTAAAGATAGAATATAGAAGACAGGGCTATTTTGTTGATTACGGCATTTTATTATTTATGCCTTGAATTATTCATTAAAGTAACAAACCCATAGCGATATTCTCTTGGGTATGCTGTATTAAAATCAATTCCGAGCGTTTTATCGCGCTAGTTAGTCAAACGTTTATGACGTAATACACTCGGTCACCGGGAAAGGTCGCAAGGTGACGTGTTACACTGTTTGCAGTAATTCGAGATTGTCGAGATTAGGCACAGACTTATGACAGTGCACACTGGCCTATCGGTTTATGGGTCGCTGGTAGGGTTACCAGATCATGAAATTTACTTTGAAAAATCCTAAGATTAGGCGCCTAAGTATTTGTTTTTTTTTCGACGTGATAACGTCTTATAAATCGATGAACACCGGCTCGACGCACGAAAAGTGTGACGTCACGTGGGTCACGAGTCACGAGGGGGAGGTGAGCTCGAGAGGTTCTTTGGACCCCCCACACGTCCCCTTGACCCTTCGAAGAGTACCTCACCCCGCGGAGCCTAACTCAGGCCTCCATAGAGCTACAGAGGCGTGCTTGGGCTCAAAAAGCCCTGCCTCGGGGCATCCCCAGGTTGGGTGGGTCCGTTCGATTCGGACACTCACTGGTGAGGTCGCAGAAGTATCCTTACTGATTCCCCTGACCTCACCCAGTGCCTTTGCCTCGCCCGGCGGGGTACCGTTTGATGGTGGATCTTGCGCCCGACGAGGTGACGGCCCATCGGTGAGGTGAGGGGCATCGTTAGGTTTTTAGTGAGTAGGGCCCCCTTCCTCTCGAGCAGCCATTGAGGCAGTTCACGGAATGGCTGAGCAGGTGGGCGTGAGGCGGGGCGGGGGGAGGAGTCCCACATAACCTCGCCGTTCTCCTAAAGCGCAGGGGTCACGCATTTTCCTGACGTTAAAAAGCTCAGTTTTCATAGAAATTTTGAAGATGCGATACGATTCATTCGATCAAAGTTCGTGCTCAGGCCTGTGCTCCTCGTTGTGAGATAAGATCCAAAAGTGTAATCAATTTATATCGAAAATTCATAAAATCGGGCCCCCATAGCATGAGCACCGCATATCGCTCATGGCTGGGGTTTCCAAAATCGGCCGCAATCCTGAAAGGAGTCTAAATCTGCTGATAGCTCTGGACAAATCCTGAGGTCGATACAGGACAAACACTGAGATATGGTAACCCTAGTCACAGCAGGCGACTATATTTGCGGATCACCGCGTCGTCGGCAATTTCGACCATCAAAGGTGTGTACACAATGAGGTTTCATATTCTTACGGCCCGTGTAAGATGCCTCGTTTCAGAATTAGGATTGCTTACGTGCTTGAAAATTCTTGTCAATTAACGATTGGGTAGCAACAGTGAGTAAGAAGAAACCCATGAGTTCTGTTTATATAATAAATAAATATGATTATTTGTGGGTTTCGTGAATATTTCATGGTTTC